TGATTGAAAATTTAAAACTATTGTTAAAGCAAGTGAAACATGAAGATATAGAAGTGCGGCAATATGCACTTCAGTATGTCACCAAACTGTATCAGATAATAAACAAGAACTTAATGATGCAATTCTTAGTAGTGATATGATAATCCAGTAATCGTTGAATTGATAGATGCACTTGTAACCGGAACTAGAGAAAGTGAGACTTTAAGTTGGATTACGCAAGGTGTTTAGGAGAGTTGGGTGCAATTGAACCAAGTCACTTACCCCGAAGATTTGAGGATACCTCTGTCTTTACATTTAGTGCAACAGATGACACATTTGCTATATCTGCTCTTATGGAACTATCAAGAGCCTTGCAGTTTGAAAAGCATACCAGTTTATGGATAACTTTGCTGTGGCTATCCAAGAAATTTTGAAGTTTTATAAAATATCTCCAACTGAGAAAAAAGCAATTGGGAATCTTACCAGAAAAGCATGCAAGAAGTTATGCTTATATTACTTTCATCGTTATGTTGTTCAACCTAGTATGTCACCTGACCGGATACATCCCATATTCGGGTCGAGTGGTGCATCCACATTTAGTAAATGGGCATTTATTTGGGTTAGTGCTTTGATTCCTCAAATAGCAAACAAAGATATTAGTGTTTTATTCAGTTCCTGCAAACCAAGTTTAAACAGAGATTTAAGGACATTGATATTATTCCTACCATATATAATTCTTCATGTTTTATTTGGAAATAATGATGAAGTCAATACCCAAATTTTTGAAGAAATGCAGACAATAATCAACATAAAACCTCATTCTTACAAAACTATTCAAAACAATAAGCAAGATAAAAAATATTTGCCAACTATTGCACTGGATCCAATAAAAAAATCTAAACCTATAGAAGAAGATACACATATAAAATGTTGTAAAACAATATATGTGCTCATTGATTTCTTAGAAAGATGGGTTCGAGAATGGGTTCATGTAAATTGTCCCAGAGTGAAGAATCCTTTAGACAATCTTCATTACAAAGCAATATATAATTTTGTGAACAAATTTGATAAAAGTGTTTTGTCCAAAGGAAATTTTGAATGTGAGGAATATTCAAGGGCCCTTCTGTATTTGGAGTGGTATTTAGAAGAAAATGAAAGAAAAAATTAGTTCATATTGTCAGATCTAGCAAATATTTATGCAAAATTAGATGAAGGCGATGCTGTTGCTGGTATACTTTCTATAATGGAACATGAACCATCTCTACAAGATCAAATATTATTCCATGAGGTTACAGGCCAATTGCAAGATGCAGCTGCTTGTTATGAAATAAAAGCACAAGAAATAAGTTTGGATCGTGATTTAATGCTGGGAATGATTCGATGTTATCTGGGATTAGATCAACCTTATATGGCATATAAGTTGGCTCACAGCGTTTCTATGATAGAAGATGAAATTGGATGTTCCATTACTGAAAGTTTAGCTGAACCTTTATGGAGATTAGGAAAATGGGATGATTTGTCTGAACTTTGGTTAGAGAAGAAGTCAAGGAAAGTCCAGAATGGGGAGTACGGTTTGGTCATGCTTTACTTTCGTTTAAAAATAGACAAAGAAATGATTTTAAAATGGAATTGGATACAATGAGGACTAACTTAATGTGTAATTTAACTAATGTTACAATGGAAAATGGAGCTTATCAACAAGCATATCCACATATTATTAAATTGCATATACTAAATGAGTTTGAAAGTGTTGACAGCTTAGTTCATATGTAAGCATATGCATATACTTTTACAATTAGGGTTCATAATTTCATGTATATCACACACAATTATTTAAATCACACATGTTTCAGGGTAACAAATTGTAAAAGCAATGTTGAAATTTTAAAAGCTGTCCATAACCTTCTGAGTAATTGGGCTGTTAGATTGAACATTTTGGAGTCTACTGGTACTACTGTCGAACCGGTGTTATGTGCAAGAAGAATATTTTTGGAACAAGCTAAAGTAAATTATTGAAATAGAATTTATATATTATTTCTTTCTATGAAAATCTACAGTTATTGCTTAATAATTAAGTATATTTGTATGTATTTATTTATTCAATATATTAATAGGTGATAATGGCTGATCGAGAATGTATTGTAAATAATATATAGATGAATTTATTGCAAAATCTTGGATAAATAGTGTAAGATTAGCACGAAAAGCTGGATTATACCAACAGGTAGTAAAAGACTTATAGTAAAAATAAGATTTTTTTTGAACTAAACTTCTTTTTTGGATCATTCAGGCATATACATATATTTTAAATGCTGTGAAATGTATAAACCAAAAGAACTTTTTGTGGAAAAAGCTAAGTTGCTCTGGCAGAAAGGTGAGCAATCCTCGGCGATTCGTGCCCTTGTAAGAGGAGTTGATGAACAATTCCCAGACTTAAATAAATTTAAGACTGCATCCAGTGGAGAAATAATAGCTGACAGGTTAGTTTTTAAAATAAATATCTAAATCCAACGTATTTGAGAACATATTATTAGATTTACTTTAATAATAAACAGATTCATCAGTTAAATTAGATTTAGTTGTATGAAGCACAGTGTTTTTTTTTTCATTATTCAATTAAACCATAATTTCAATCATTACTTTTTTGAAAAGTTTAATTTTTCACTCTTGCATTACTTTTTTTGTTTAATATATTGTTAATCTAGCTTAATTTATAAATTTGTCTTTCAGAAAATTATGTGCTGAAGCTAAGTTACTAATTGCAATTTATAATGATGATTCGGTTAATGTTGGAACTGAAGAAAACTTAACAAACTATAAAACTGCTGTTGATGTAAGTCGTAACACCAGATTTAAATGCTATTTCATGATATATGATACTACTTATTATTATTATAACCGTAATTAAACAAAATATGATTTGATAAGCTATTTAAAAATATTAACAAATCAAATTTGAATTTGAATTTTATAAGTAAATCACGTTCTGTTGCATTCCTTTAAAGCTAACTAACTGAAATAAATAATTGACCTTGTTATTTTAATTTGTATTAATATATTATGGTTACTAAGTTTATGAAAAATATAAACAATCAGGTATATATTATAGGTCTTTAAACACTGGGAAAAAGTTTAGTTTATCTTGCACAATATTATGATAAAGTGTATTCAACACTTGGTGGTGATGAAACTGAGAACAGATTTACAGAATCTCCGGTATGTATAATTAATTATCATTTTATATTTTGAATTTGCATTTCTATATGTTTAATATTTTTTACAGCGCCTCATTATACATTTTTATGGAAATTCTTTATACTTTGGTTGCCATTATATATATCAATCAATGCCTAGAATGCTAAGTGTATGGTAAGCTTTTTATAATAGTATAAAATTTTTAAATGCTATTATCAATTCTATATATTTATTTTTAGGCTGGATTATGTTGCTTCAGATAAAGATCCATCCAAAACGACACTAACCAAAATAACAGCCATGATTGCAAATTTTGCTGAAAAGTTACCCACATTCAAATTTTTCACAGCTTTCTCCCAGTTGGTTTCAAGAATTTGTCATCCACAGCCAGTCGTAAGTTTGAATCAAATATTGTTTATAGTAGAATACTCAAATATAAGAAAGATTTTACTTGTGTAAAAAAAATTGTATTGAATTTTAATGAAGAAGTTTGAGCAGAAATTATTATGATTTTTGTGTGACAAATATTTATTTATTTATTTGTAAAAATATATTCTTATTTTGTTTTATTTTAGGTTTACACACAACTTAAAGAAATATTAATTAAAATAATACAAAGGTACCCACAACAATCACTTTGGATGATCCTGTGTGTTTATAAATCCAGTTATGTTCAGCGGTATAAGGTAATAATTTGAGTTGTTGGAATTTAATTGAAAAAATTACATGGCAGTTTATTACAATTTAAATTTTTTAAAAACTTATTGACTATAAGTTATTGATATATATCTGAGTAGTATTACTTATAAATATACTTCCATTATAATAAAATAGAGTATCAATGTTAAAGTATTTCATTTTTCTGTTTTGCAGAGATGTGCCGAAGTTCTGCAAGATCCTAGATTAAATGGTACAGATACTGCGAAATTGATCAATGATTTTAATATATTGGCAGAAAAAATGATTGATTTAACAAATAAGACAATCCCGAATGGCTTGCAAGTATGTTTTATTATTATGAATTTATTTTTGTCAATTGTCTAAATCTATTTATATTTATAGGAAACAACAGTAGCTGCAATAAATAGACATATTCAAAAGACATTCTTAGATCCACAATTCAGTCAAATCATGATGCCAGTACAAGAGTTTCGTAAAATGGTTATGCCGTCTCAGGAATATTATGACAGTATGATTTAAAAATACTACTATTTAATAGAAGCATTTAAATTATTAATTAAAATTTAATTTAGGTAAAAGGAATAGAAATGACTTCAATGCATTTCCCAATAAAATGGTTTATATAACTGGAATACAAGATCGAGTGATAATTCTTGCATCATTGCAAAAACCAAGGAGAATTTCTTTAAAAGGTAGAATATTCAAAATGAAAAACATGAAATGAAACATTACGTAACATGAAATTTTTTGGTAGGATCTGATGGTAAAAATTATAGCTTACTATTAAAGCCAAAGGACGATTTGAGAAAAGATTTCCGTTTGATGGAATTCAATACTATTGTTAACCAATATTTACACAAAAATCCTGTTGCAAGAGAAAGAAGATTGAAAATTAGAACATATTCTGTTTTGCCATTAAATGAAGAATGTGGAATTATTGAATGGATTTCTAATGTCATACCATTGAGACCTGCGCTAATCAAAATATATAAGGAAAAGCGTGAGTAATATTATTTTTGTTTTGTAGAAATGTAGGTTGCTACCTGTATTTTAAAGTCAAATTATTGGAGCAGCCTCTCCAGTTCTGCTGGTAATCTTAATTTTGACTGAAGATCTTTTATATAATTTAAATATTTGAAATATATTTTGTTCTATATATTCAAATATATTCTATTGCAGAAATTTACACAAATGCAGAAAAATTGAAGGCTATGTGGGTTCCAAAGGAAAGTCTGGATATCAAAAGAAAAGTGTTCTTATCATTTTATATTAAAAACCATCCACCAGTGTTCTCAGAATGGTTTAGGTACTTCAAATACTATTTAATTATTTATGTTACATCTAGACTCAATTTATTATAAACATCTTTCTTTATTTTAGATTGAATTTCCCTGATCCACATGGATGGTATCAGGCCAAATGTGCTTATATCCGTACTACTTCTTCATCTCTATGGTTGGATATATTTTAGGTAAATAGCATTATTGACTTGTTTTAATTTGGGCTTTCAATTAGATACATGTTTTTTATATGTGTCAGGCTTAGGAGATCGTCATGGTGAGAATATTTTGTTTGATTCGACAAATGGTGACACCATGCATGTTGATTTTAATTGCCTTTTTAATAAAGCTTAGCTTTTGAATATCCAGAACGGGTTCCATTCCGAATGACACATAATATGGTGAAGGCTATGGGGCCTACAGGTGTCGAAGGAATGTTCAGGCAAGTTAACATCATTATTAATTTATTTATCTATTTATCCCATATCTTTATTGTTTGTGAAATATGAACTTTCAATATGTTTACAACAGGAAATCATGTGAAATTACAATGAATATATTGAGAGCGCAACGAGAAACATTAATGTCTGTGTTAAGACCTTTTGTTTATGACCCTTTATTGTCATGGAGTTCAAGATCTAATAATACATCAAGTCAGTATCCACTGAGAGAATGGATAAAGATCTATGCGATCTGTGGAGAATATTGAAAAAAGACTGAAAGGCATTGTAAGTTTGTTTTATATTCATAATTCTGTTCTTTTATATTTTGTCTTAATTTTTATGATGTAATTTGATTTAAAATTTTACAAGGTGCGTGTTAGAAGTGATCAGTTGGAAAGCACATTATCCTGTGAAGGTCAGGTGAACTATTTAATACTCGAAGCAACCAGTATTGATAATTTATGTCAATGTATATAGGATGGGGACCATATTTATAATTATTTTATTGTTAGATTTTATATGAAATGTTATTGAAGAATGAATTAGTAAGTTATTTTATAATTGATTTTTTTTTTAAGAAAATTGAAAATTACAATTATAAGTAATATTAAAAATACAATGCCAAATATATTAAATATTAATCAGTTTGAATTTTATTATATTTCGATTGATTTTTTTTTATTGTAGCACTAAATAAGCTAAAAATTTGATTTAAAGCAGAATGTTATAGTTAGTTTTGTCATTGTTAGAACCGGAACCGGTTATTAGGTTTGAACCAGAACCTGTTATAAGGTTTGAACCGGAACCGGTTATAAGAATAGCGAAGGATTGTAAACATCAGGCAACTCGATGTCTGCATGGTAAATTCTTTTTGTCTTTCTAAAGGTGCGTCCACACCTGACGAACGAACACGAACGAACATAAACGAACGTGCCAGAACGAACGGCAACAGCATAGTGTGGACGCCACGACGATCACGAACGAACATAAACAAACATGGCGAGCAATGTTCCGCAACTTGTCGGTACATCAAAGGGAATTGTTCGTTCGTGTTGGTACTCGTATTTGCAGTGTGGACGTCTCAACGAACGCAAACGAACATTTTTGTTTTAATAATTTTAATAATTTAATAATAATTTTTTTCCTTTAATATGGGAGACTAAAGACCCTTTTTATAAAATTATTAGAAAAAAAAACGATGCTTGGGAAAATGTAGGCAGAACGTTTGGGATGTCAGAAGCTGCAGTAAAGAAGAAATTGCAGTCTTTACAAGTAAATATTAAACTTGTTATCATACATAGACATTCAACATATATGTTGAGGATGAGAGTTTGAAAATTGAGTATAGTTAGGCTCAAGCCTGGAATGTTCAGCTTGCTCCGAATATGAATGCTGAGGAAAGAAAACGACTCAAAATATAAATATTAAATACAAAAATTGAGTGAAATTAATTGAATAATTTATTTACAGTATATTTACAAAATATACACGAACAAAAATCACACAAAAACCAGTGAAAATGCCGTATGATTAAAGCTTACATCCATATCAATAATAAAACTGACGTTTCACGGAACATTTACGAACAACGAAAATTCAAGCGCTCACTGCTCTTAAGCGCTTGTTTAAGTTCGTTTGGAATTTTTCGCGTTCGTTCGTGTTCCTGTTCGTTCTTCTTTGTATTTTCTTGTTCGACATGTTCGTTCGTTAGGTGTGGACGCACCTTAATGTGTTATATGTTGGTACCTCTGAATCGCATTTCAAAATATGGCGCAACATCGGTTTATTTTGACTTCAACCTATAAATTTGACATTTGCTCAGATTTGATGCTTTATAAAATTATTTCATAAATATTGTAATGGCATTATTCAAAGCCTATAGTGATGACAAAACAGAAAAAGAAGGTATACAGAATCTCATTGATGCTCGTTGTATGAAAAACATTTTTGATTTAAAATTGTTTATTTTTGCATTATAAGGTAGTGTTGATCAACAAAACATTGAATTAATTACTGAATCTGAATTTCCACAAAAAGTTGATACACATGGTAACAAACACGGGAGCGATGCTTCTGATAATGATTTATTCTTTATTGATTCCATGGGAAATCAAAATAATTTATTAGATAATTCAAATGCTAGAAAAATAGAAAGGTATGAATATTTGTGAATATATCTACTTAAATAAAATTTTATTAATTTTTGCATTATGTATTATTTGCACATATTTGGTAAATATTCAATATATCAGATATATATTAATTAAAGTTAAATTTAATGCAGAAAGGAGGATTATGTTCAAATACGAAAAACAAAAAAGAAAACTAAGAGGTATTTAAAAAGAAAAACTTTAGATTCCAAACCAAATATATTTAATTTGAATGATGAATTGAAAAGTCTGCAAAGTTTGTTATCACATGATGAAAATAATATTGGCTTGTGGAAGGAATTTATTAACGCACAAGTAAGAAATATTTAATATCTATTATGGCCCAAAATAACAAAAGAAATATTTATTTATACATAGGCAAAAAATATTTCTGTGGGTAATGTTAAAGCCATAACAGAGAGACAAATCAGTATTATAGAAGAAGCTCTAAAAAAGAACCCCCGGAATGCAGAACTTTATGATTTATGGTTTCAGTGCAATAGAAAAATTTATTCGCATAATGATTTTACTAAAATTATTATGGAACAAACAGAGAAAGGTAAAGAATTTCATTATGTATATTAAATATATTTTCTGTAATATTAGTAGATTATTTTAAAATAAATAATATGAATCTTTATTTATAGATTCTGGAAATTTTCAATTGTGGCTAGCGTTGATAGATTGCACACAGCAGTCAATTTCAGAATGCAATGTAACTGTTGTATTAGAGTTGTATCAGAAAGCAATGACCTGTTTTAAAAAATTTCGTCATCAACACACATGCAACAAAGGAGTTTTATTCAGTAAATATTTTTATTGTTAAGAACTCATATGCGATATAGATGCAATATTGTATCTGAATATAATTTATTTCAGAATTATTTCAGCGTGTTACAGTATTTCTTAGGCAAACGGGTTCTTGGAAGGAGCTGTTGTATTTCTTGGAATACACAATGTGGCTGAATTGCAGTGATTGTGAGCTATCACAAATATTTAAATTTCCAGAAATATCTAACAGCATTTTGATAGAACTGGAAGAAGCGGTTCTTCAATCTGGTTTACCATTATCTGAAATTTGGTATCGAATTGAATCTTTGCGTGAAACTTTCAATTGGAGTACAGTTAAAACAGATTTTAGCAATTTAGCCTGCAATCTTACAATTGAAGAAATGGATGACTTGACAACAGTTTTTAGTGAAGATACTACGAAATTTCATTTATTTTTACATATATTATCTGTTTTGAGGGTAAGTTAGTTATTCAATTAAATTTTCCATTTCAATATGAAAAAAAAGTCTGTCATTGCATTTTATATTGTTCTAGATGCTTTTATATATAAATAATTTTTATGGGTTAAGCAATATTTATTTTTGAAATTATTTTTTTCAGATACCAATTTTACCAAAAAATTACTCATTTTATGGAGTAATAGGCTTGACTGAAATTACATGGCATATTGATAGTTGTGAACATATTCTATACTCGTTTTATGAGACAAATGAGAAGCATTCTGATATAATGCAAATTTTGTATGATATGTTATCCACAATCATTGATGGGCCTCAATATTGGGGTCCACGTCCATTCACCTCTGATTACTATGATTTCGCAACTACTTTAATAAAAAATCTAATGCATTATTCAAAAGATGAATATGATAAATTAGCATTTGGGGTAAGTTTGGATTGAATTTTAATGACTTTCAAAACAATCTATTTTTTTTTTTTTTTATAGTTGTTGTATATCAGATTTATTATGATGCATATAAATTTGATGAAATATTCAAAAAAAACTATTAATGCAAAAAGCATTAAGAAGAAAGTAAAGACATTATTATCAGAAAATAATAATTTAAAGTCTTCAATTATATTGTATGTAGAATATGCAAAACTTGAAGCTTGCATATCTGATGTATCTAGTGGATTAAATACAATGATGGCTCTAATGAATTCTGGAAATTATGAAGTTGCTGAATTGTCATATTTAATTAGGACTTGTATAGATTATAATTTAATTAGCGACAGTAAAAATCTTGATAAACAACTGTACCTGAAGATGCTAGCAAAACTTGTGCATAAAGAACCATTTAATAACTTTGATATACCCATAATAGTGACAAAATTTATGAAGCACCTTGTTGTACAGATTGAAAAATGTTACATCACACTTAATTTTACCAATTACACAAGAGCACTTTATATGTTGTGGTGCATATTTTGTGTATTTTACTTTAGGATTTCAAAAAGCTATAGAGTATATAAATAAAATGAGCGAAAACGTTCATTTTTTAATAAAAGAAAGTTTATTTGAATGGGTTGCTGGTATAAGTTACTTACACTCAGAAGAAAAGATCATACATGTGAGTTCACCTTTTAATTATTTAATAATTCTCAATTTGACTATTTATTATTTTATCATAATAATTTGTTGCATGGTTTCAGAATTGTTTAGAAGTTGCAATTTCAGAATATCCGAATAATAGTAAATTATTATTGGCATATGTGGCATTACCTTTACATTGGACAAAAATAAAAGGAGTTCTTTCACACAGTATTTTAGGGGTTACTCTTTTAATGTGTTTTGCGAAGTTGAAAGAATCAATAGCTTTTGATGATACAGAAAGAATTGCATATAAAAACAGGCAATCGTCTATCATAAATGAAGTAATGAAAGATGAATATTTAACTCAATGTCCTTTTATCTGGAAGATATATTTGCAATTTTTATATGAGAATGGATCTGAAAAAATTATGGATACTATGACACAAGCTATCGAAAAATATCCTTGGTTGAAGGTAATTTTTATTTTGTAAAAGGAAATAATTTTTGTGAATACTTACATAATTTATTTTTAGGCTTTTTATGTGTCCGGTGTCAGATATGTTCCACAAGAGCATTCTGCTTTCCAAGACATTATTGCTGAGAAGGAATTAACATTGCTCGCATTGACAGAAGAATTGGAGATTCTACGACAAGATAATCCAGATAAATAATCAATTAATGAATTGAAAATGTTTCAAAACGATGTATGTACAAATTTTTATTACACATGAAAAATTTTATTTATTAATTGCATTTATATTTATTTATCAAAATATACAAATTTTAAGCTCTTTAACAAAACTATCCAAGCTATATATTAATTGTTCATAGTAGAAAGGTTTTAATACACATTTTTTTAATGTAATAAATAATAAGGCAGTAAGTAACAATCATAAATGATAATCAAAAACTTTTTTTTTTTAAATATAACATTGGTTTCAACCTACATGAATTCATTATAATTTCTATTTAGTAGTATGATTTATATATTATTTTTGAATAGTATATTGAAGTTTACTATTCTTCATTTTTTAAAAATAAATTAGGATAAAATCGTAATCCTTCTAAAGATTCATCTCTGCATGCCTTTCCTGCTAATTCTGTTGTAAGCAAACGTTCATGAGCTAGCAGAATTGGAATACCTATGATATCTGCTAATAATTGTGGGGTTAAAAAGCCATTCTGCTCCAACTACAAACAAATTTTAATGAATAAGAGATATAAAACCATTACTTTCAATCCTTTTTTACTCACAGCTTCTAATGTGCTATCTATCACTGATATGTCACTATGGCTTTCCAGTTGTAAAACCATAGCTCCACTAGGAAATTGTCGAAGCATTAATGGAGGTTCCAATAATCTGCAAGCACTTAATAAATCTTCAGGAGAAAGTAATTCTAAGCCACGAGCTCTATTAACTCGAACAAAGACATCTGATAAAGACATCATACCACCAATTTCTTCAATTGGTTGCAATAATATCTCATTTAACTGATTAGCAAGCTTTTTAAAATATTGTGAGTCACTTTGATATGCATCTCTTGTTACTGGATCGTCTATTCCTAAGCTTAACAAATATGATTTAAATCTTACAGTTTCATCTTGTGTTATATCACCTTGCCGATCCTGAAATATTTTAATTTTGAGTTTTTGTTCATAACAATTCAAAAAATTATAACTACAAATGTGTGTAAACTCACACGAATTTTTTGGCTGATGCTTTTGCTAATATTGACCATGTCTTTTGCCATCGTCATTAATTTATTTAAATCTTGAAAAGCTTGGTTAATATTTTCATCTGTGGCTTTATGTTTTTCTTGTAAACTTCTTTCTATTCCTACTATCCCAGTTCGGGTTTTGATATTTGGTAACTTCTTAACTTCTGGCGCAGGAGAGCTAGCAAAGGAATTAATAAGTGTAAAAACATTTTTAAGCTTATTCTTTATAATGCAAACCTGTCTTCTACAACACTCCATTCTTGGGCTTCTAAAGTTGCATTTAAACTTGGAATAAATTCAGATGAATATCCTTCTCTGAATGAAAGTTTTATGAAATCATATAAACTGCTTGCAGAAGGTCCAGGTACTTTGTCTAAGATTAAAATCAAATTTTTAGTGAATTATTTTGCATGCTTTATTAAGTTTAAAAGCAATTACTGGGAGATGCTGGAGATAAATGAAGTATAACTTTTTTGCTTCTGCTGAAACCAAAAACCCCAGCAGAAGCTTCTTCGATACCCTTGACAAGATTTAATGGCAGTGTTATACATGTTTGGCCTCTGGGAATCTCGCCTGGCCTTCCCCAAAATAATCGCCGGCTTGTAAGAACTATTTCACCGCCTTCAAAATTAGTCTGATAAAAAAGAACTATTTTAAAAATCGGTGTTTTAGAAAGTCAAAATTAAAAATTGCATTCAATGGTTGAATACATATATCTTAAGTAATTTGTTATCATTGAGTGGAAGTGGCCGTTAATGACTAGCTCAATAATGTTCATCTACAGAAAAAATATTAATGCTACTTCATAATAAACACAAACAAATGTAATGCAAAGTATGAGTATTGTAAGAATATTTTATAAGACCCACTTAAATATTTATGAAATTTAGAAAATAAGTATATCAAAGTAAAATGTGTATAGTAATAAACTTTAATACTAAGTTTAATAATATGTATACTTTGTTAATATGTATAATTTGTTATCTATACATAAATTGTAAAAAAAAACTATACCTTTACATCGCCGTCATATAATCTCACATTTTTTTCTCTTATTACAAAAGATTCACCTTCGTTCAACTTTGCGACATTATATTCTAAGCGATCCATAAATTGATATCTGTAATAAATAATAATAATAATAATAACTATAACGTCAGAATTAACCACAATTTGTGTTTGTCAGTTTGACAGTTGACAGTTGACAAAATGGACATGTGCCACCAACCTAAAATAATTTGTATTCAATTCTGTAACAGTTGGTAGCACTGAGTGCAATTTTTATACAAAGTGTCAGATTGGCATTCAATATTAAATAAAACATATGAGGAATGCACTAGAATGCATTTTAGATGTTAATCTATGTGATGTTAAAATTGAACATTTTTATTTTTATGTTATATACATGTGATGGGTTGTAATATTATTCAGTGAAATAGTCTTCTAATCATTCAGCGATGGACAGGTAATTTAAAATTATATATACATGTATACATGTTTATAGTACTATACGCAATAAATTCCTTGTAAAATAGTAATATTAGAAATAACAAAAAACTACTGCTGATTTGCAACATTGCTTTGCAACAAAATATTTATGTTCATATATTGTATTCGTACTTATAGTTTTATTTTATGTCTGTTGTATAATAGACATAATAGTAAAGTTTGATATGTTTATTTAAATTTCTATAGGAAGAAAAATATGCACAACAGCAATCAAAATAGGCAACTTAATTCTACTGGTGCTGTACCTAAAGCGGGTTCAAGCAGGGAACCTCAGAGAGATGTGGTGTCAAGAGTAGTTGCCCCAATAGTTCGAGAAACACCGCATCATAATATTAATTCATATAATATGGTAAGTTTCAGATAAATTATTACCATTATTTTTTTTTGTATGCAAAATATATATTAAAAATAATGACAAATGAAAAATAGAAAGCTATCACAGATCAAACTTCTAAATATGAAAATTATTAATACATTAAATTGATAAATGATTATCGCTTATTTAAAATAAGCTAATGATGCTGATGGCTTTTGAATCCTATTATCTACTACTGAAATAATGTCTCATATTATTAAATATGTTTTAACGTTGAAAGAACAATCAAAATAAATATGCCATAAATATATAATATATTTACTTTAAAAATAAGTTTTTACTGATTTATAAATGTATTTCTTCTTTACTTTGGTTTATTTATTTTGTTGAGCTTTCACATATTTTTTTACTTATTTAGTTTATTCATAAATTTTTCAATGTATATATTTCAATGCTGAATTTGTTATAGTAAATAAGTTATTCAAAACTCGGTTTCAAATGTAACATTGCCTAGTGTAGATTATTATAATATGAATTATTATGTCGGATGTAAATTATTATGTGTTCTAAGGAATATGAGCCTATATCATAGTAAATTTATCAATTTTTTAATTTATTTGTAATTATCTGAACAGGTGTTTGCTTGTTATCTCTAAATAACTTTAACGCATAGGTTGTAAACCTTTATGTTGTAGATTGCACATGAAAATTAACTAATTATTGGTATTATAAAACTTGTTCAAACATCATTTTTATACATTTTTTTTATAAATATTTAAAAATTTGAATAATCCAGTTATGATGCTTTAATAAAATTATTTATTGCAACCTAACAGTTTTAATGTTTTTTTTTTTCTAAAATTTTCAAAACATAGGTAAAAGTTGTTATAAAGCAATTTATCAATATAAAGGAGATCGGTATTTGTTTTGCTTCATTTGAAAATTATTATGGTATATAATAGTAAAATGTAATGAATATTAATGATACATAATAAATTTATTCAAACATCATTTTTATAATTTTTAGTCATTTATGAATATTTGAAAATTTGAAAATTTCAATTATGATGCTTTAATAAAATTAATGCAGCCTAACAGTCCAAATTTTTTTTTCGAATTGAGTTAATTTGTAAATTAATTTTCTATATAATCTTTATTGAAATTACTTGTTTATCTTAATGTTCATCTTTAACTCAATGAATCGTTTTTATATGTTTATCTTTAACCCAATGAATAGTTATTAAATATTATTATTATTATATACCAAAATATTTTCAAAAAAAGCAAATCAAATACCGATCTACTTTATATTGCCAAATTACTTATTTATCTATGTTTGAAAATAAAGCAAAAATATCAGAGTACAATATTACAGTATTTTCAATAAATTATTTATATAATTTTATCTAGATATTTCTAGATGAAATACACATAATATATGTGTTAAAACTTACATCAGCCTTGTCTCTGTATAAGTATAGATATGTTATAAAAATAGTTTTGCGGAACTAATGAAGCGAAATTGAAAGTTGGAAGATTGATTGCTCAGGGATTAACCAATTTCACTTCGAAATATTGGCTACAAACCATATTCCTTTATTTTTGTGGTTTTAACTAGAATCATAAAAATCCCTGTCAATACGAGTATCGCCAAACATTTTACGCGCGGTTAAAGGTATAATAATTCTTTTTGCGGGTTTTTGTAATATTTCTGTTCTATATGTACCAAATATTAACATTAAAAAAATAGTATATTGATTCTAATGAATGACATATATTTTTGTTGCCTGAAATCAACCTGATGCCTACGGGATTTAAATTATTATTGAAATTTATTAAGTTCAAAGTAAAGTACTTATTCTAGATTACATACAATACAAGTTCCTCATTAATTAGATATATCTATTTTTTACACGGCCCTGTTATTAGGATATTCTAGTGCGGCGACCAGCTTATTTATTTTTAGAACGATGAAATCTCATTCAGAACTCCCATTATACAACTTTCTATAGTATTTATACAATTGATTAAGCCGGTCCGAATATAATTAAAAATACTTGATGAAAGGGGATAAAATCGATTTTGATGTGCAATTTTGTAAAGTGAGAATATTTTGTGAATAATAAAGTTTTCTTAGTGTAGATTTCATTTAACATAATAATTTTCATTGTAACTTTATATTAACAGCAGCTTGTTCTAATTAGGATTTTCAAAATTTTAATATATTCAAACTAAAAACTATAAAATGGTTCATAATAACTTAACATGATATTGTATTTATAAATCAACTTGATTGAAGAAAAATTCTGTTCAATTTTATAATTTTAATAACATCTTGTAAAAATATTAAGTATTGCATTCGTAAATGTAACATGTACGTCATATGGCCATAAATAAATTACTTGTTGCATTCTAATTCTAATTCAATATTTCATTCAAGGTACATTTTTTATAATTCTGATAGACTGATTTTTCTTATTTCTACGGATCTTCCAATATAAAATATTTTTAGTTTAGTTTTGTGCAATCTTTTTAAAAATAAAATACATATAGTTGTGTGTAGTTGTAATATTATGTTATATGAAGAAATTAACTTTCAAGGAGCAGAACTATTAAAGTTTAAATGGAATATTTTGATTAAACCGAACCGTATACAATTTAAATATTTATTACAAAAAACCAGTCCGCTTGTTTAGATTTTATGTCTCAGTTATTGAAATTTTGATCTCTAACACATCTGAAAACCATTAAAATTTACTTTTTTATTGCCTTAAATAATTGTATGGTAATAAGACAATGTACTAATAATGGACCCATATATTAATTGATCTATTACATTTTCAAAACATAAATTATTGTAAAATGGTGTGTTATACATTATAGCTCCTGGAGTGGCAACAAAATCAAAATCCTGAACAACACACCTCTGATCATTCGCATCAGCGAGAAAGATTCAATAGAGACTTTACAGCATCTGTTGAAAGTGGAGTTTTTGAACAAGGTATAATATTTTAAAAAACTTGTGAGAGTATCAACCATTTTTTTGGAATAGAATAAGATGATAGACTTTTATTTAGATAATTCTATTATTTTGCCTTATTGTTGATATTTTAGTGCATAGATAATATAAAACTATTATTATACAATTGTTTCTAAGTAAATTATTAGAATTCGCAAAATTAACATTGATTTTCTCTAGTTGTGAATGGTGGAACACTATCCCACGAGCAGCAAAACTGGTTGCCAGTAGTAAGACCTCAAATTCGAAAACGTAATCAGGCTCAGTCTGGAAGTAATAGTAATTCACACAGTATGTCTACATCAACTGGTCTTCAACAACCTCAACAGCATCATTCTAGCTCTAATACAGCCATTGGTAAATAGTTTTCATAGATTATTTTTAAATCTATTAATAAAATTAATTTTTTTGCCTATTCGAACAAACAATGTAAAATACTTTTGTATTATATCAGATATCGTTATTGAAAATTCAGTATGATTTGTCTGATCTGACTCTACAATTGTTAATAAAAGCATTAAGAGTATTATTTGTAATTGGCTACTGTGACTTTATATACTTTTTTTTAGTACTTCCGACGACGCCGAATATGCACCCGTTTACAAATGGGGAGCTGACAATGAATTCTAATTCTGGTGATATATTTATGGCACCTAGACATCAAGATAGAGCAACACAAGTTCTTCCATTGATCAACAATAATCATTCTGAAGTATGTAATTAATTATAATTACTTAATTCACTTTTGACATGATAATTTTATTTATCACATATATTAAATAATTTTTATAAAATTTGATTAATTGGAAATAATAAATCTATATTTGCAGACTGATGAAAGACTGAATAATGTACAAGCATTCATTAATTCGTCGACTAATACTCGTCCAGTATGTGATGGGTCTTCTATAGATGAGGTATTACTTTACTTCTTTAAATTCAATATTTCTTTTGTTTTAATTTATATCTTTTTTTAGTCAAATGATTTAAATGCTCCATTATCAAATTCAGAAATTAATGATGACAATATGAAATGCCTGGAAATGCAATTGAGGATGGATATTTCAAATAGGAAGCTGCAAGTTTTACAGGTAAATATTTTCTTCATAAATAATTTAATATATTATAAGAAAAGATATAATTTTGCTATTTCTAGAATATCATTTATATATATTTTTATTTTTATAGAACCAGCAGTCGCAGCTTTTGTTGATTCAAGAATCTGCCAAAATGCAGTTAGATAAATTAAGAAGACATAAACAAATGGAACAGCAACAGTTGTTGAATCAACAGCAATTAGAGAGAGGTCAATCTCAACAACAAGCCAATCAAACTAATAAAGTATTTTCAGTTCAATCGTCACAACAATTTGATAATTCAAATCAATCCGATAGAAACTCTACTACTATGCAGATGCATAATCAAACAGACTTCAGGTAATTTTTTTTCAGCTAGATATTGAACACAATTAAATATATTTATATTTGGATAATTGAATTTTAAAAATAATTGTCGATAATTAAAATATTAGTTGTGTAATCAAATACTTTACTTCACTTATGATTTAATTTTAGTTTTCAACCCATAAATCCAATGACATATTCTCTTCAAAACAATGAAAATTTGTTAAATCCAAATCATAATGAAAATCATCATCTACACAATAGAGAGAATACAAATTACAATTGTTATTCTGATGGTAGATCAAGTAACCAGAATGAGAACATTATACCTAAACATAATGGACATGGCTCTATTAATTCTGATGAAGTGACTTCTGATAACAATCATTTGGCAGCAGGAGAGAGTGTTGCTGATCATCCAGGTAAAATGCTTAAACAATGAGTGCAAACTTTTCTTTACTTTTCAGTCTCATTCAGTTCTATTGTTCAGTTCTATTATTCGGCTATTGTTTTTAAATATCTTCAATGCCAAATAACTTGAAAACAAACAATTATTATTATATTAAATAATTATTTATTTTATTAAATGAAAATATTATTTAAATTTTATGTATTACTCGCAGGGTCAAATAGTGAATGAATTGATTAGAGATTAGTGATTAATTATGATTAATAATAATGTTATATGTTGCAGGGGATTTTTCTAGAGTTGATGAGGGTCTTATGAATATTTCAAAACGTTTAATGGCTATAGATGCAATGATGGAAACACGTTCTGAAGTTGAAGCTTTAACAAATTCAACGTTTATTTCAGCTCAAGGAGATTATGATGAAAAGTTAAAAGAATTGCAAAATAAAAAACAACAAATGGATAGTTTGGTATGTTATTTTTCATATTATGGTTTAAATTTTGTATATTAATGACTAAAGATTGAAGTTTTATTAATTTTTAACATAACATTTGTGATCAGAAAATTATCAGATGATGAATTCTTTGATTTTTTTCCTCATTCAATTTCCTACATTTTAAAATACTTTAAAATTTATGCATATAATTTATAAAACATTAATCTTTTTTTTTGTAGGTAGCTGATTTGCAACAGCTGAATAAACAAGCGGCTCGTGATGCCGAGTTGCGAGTTTCACGTAATGCTGGCAGCGAGAGTCGCCTATCAGAATCTGCAAGTGTTCCTGAAGAGCCCCTTCCCACTTTGAGGTCAATCGTGGGCACTGCAGAAGGTTCCACATCATCAGTTGGCAATGAAGTAGCTCAGATAAGTGCCATGAAAGTGCAATTGGCTAGACTCAAAGGTAATACTCAAATAATTCCAATTGAAGATTATTGCACAAAATAAATATATTCTATACCAACTTATGTCTATCAAATATTTTTATAGATATGATGGATACTATGAAATATATAGAGGCTAGAACAGGTGGCTCAGATGTAGAAGACTCAATAAGATCTAATTCTCCACGAAGCAGTTTGTGTGACCATCAAAGTGCCAGTACTATCGAAACAACTAACTATGCTGAATCATGGGCAAGCAGCACCTTGAAGCCTAATAATGTTGATCACATGGTAATAATTTAATATCTTATTTATATAACATGTATCATTTATACAATTTTATGTTATGCTATTAATATAAGATTAAAGTATTTAAAATTTATTAAAAGTAATGTGAGTCAATTATATTTATATTAGGTTTCAAATTAAAATTGGTTAATTGATTGAATTAATTATTGTTTTCTAGAGTCAAATTCCATACAAGGCTTTAATTTCGGATAATGAAAATTTGAATTCAGTATCTAATTGGCTCGATTCTGATGGTGGTGAACGTAGCAACAAATTTCCTGAATCTGGTTTGACAAGTAATCCTTCTATTGGTGGTCTTTCTTTAGAAACTGTTCAGTCTTTGTCCCAGGAGCTTCGAGAACAAGCCAATGCTTTGTCTGCTGAGAGAGATAGATTAGTGCAGGCTCAAAATCAAATTTTGTCCAGGCCAGGTTAGTCCTTTTTTTGATAAATTCATGTTTATGTTTGCTATTGGTTTCCAAATGGTCACAGAAGATTTAATGATACCAGATTATGAAATAACCTGTTAAAAAATTATTTTAAAAAAATCTATTTAAAAATATATAATATTGTTAATAAAAAATAAATTACCAGTTAGTAGAGGTTAGTAAAGTGTAAGAATGCATAACATTTTATATTCAATTATTGATTGAATTTTTTTAATAGGTCGCAGTGCATCCATGAGCAGTGCTAATAGCTTTAGTAATCGCTCAGAAAAAAAAGTTAATCAACAAGTATCCCATAAGAATGTACATAAACCAAATTCATCTACCACTTATGTGCCTGGACCTAAGGAAATGCAACAGCAGATGTTAAAAGCTCAACTTGAAGCTAAGAAAAAGGAACTTGAAGACCTTATGAGGAAAAGTAGAGTAAGTTGAAAATAAATATATTTGTATGTAAATATTTGGCACTTTAATTCATCATTAAGGAATTTGTTGGAATAAGCAACACTAAATATAAAATAATATTTTCTTTTTACTACCACAGGATTTGTCATTGCAAATAAATCAAACTTCAAACACTTCAAATACATCGTCGACAACACTTAAACAAGATCTACCCCAAGATACAAATCCTTCATTTTGGTCCAATGAACAAAGGTATCTATTATATATGTATATTGTTATAAGAATTCTCATTAATGGTGGTGCTCTGCATGATGGCTTGTCCATACATCACTTTTTTTTCTTTCAACCCTCTGCTTATCTTATCAACCTTTTAATTTTATACTTCCATATTTTGTGTCAATTATTAATGCATGCTTGGAAATATATAATATCATAGTGTATTTTATTCTAGATTTCAATCCAAAACACCTACAAGAAAATCATCTGGTCAGTCTGCTAGTCTTTCCGAAGTTGGTTCTCAAAGATTAACAAGAAGATCAAGAGAAGAAAGTGAGTCAACAGTTATCACATCCTTACCAGATATTGATGCTGCAAGCTGTAATGAAGATTTTCCACAACAAGCGCAGGTACCTAATTTAATATAATTTTGATGTATACAAATACAAAAGAAAAAATCTTAAAATATAGAAAAGATCTCCTATCAAATTATTTTCTATCAGCTTGTCTACAACTTTTATGATAGTGATAACTATATTAATTTACTTTTACATATTTTCTTGGACTCTAAGAATATTCCAATAAGAAATGCTAGTCGTCATTCAAATATCACACCACCAGTGCCTCCACCAATGCCTGAAATTAGTTTTCGAAAGGATTCTCAAGGTAGGTTTATATAACATCTTCTTCTTAGAATTATTATGCTGCCTGTAAAGAAAATGGAAAAATTATAACAATTTATTTATTTATTTTTAGATAGTAGCAGTTTCACTTCTCCCAGTAGTCATAATAATCAAACCAATGCACAAGGAACCCCCACTTGGCAACCGAGGTTGGCTCAGGTATAATTGTACTTTCATATTGTCTAATTCACTTATCTAATTTATCTCTCCAATATTATAGTTTTTTATGACGATTAGTAAATATATATAATATTTATTTTAATTTTCAGCATCTACAATCTCAATTTGATTTATACTTCAATCATTGCCAGAACTTGGCAATGGCTGCAGCAGCAGCAAATAATCAAAATGGGTCAAATCAGACACCGTTGACCCACTCGAATTCACCGTTGCTATCATCCTATGTGCAACCGCCTTTGAGCAGTTTTCCCAATAATCCGCTGACATCAAATGAATTAGGTAATGATAATGATTAGTTGGGAATTTGTTGAGAATATGCATTACATTTTTCTTTATTCAAATATAGGTGTGTTTTATCAACTCCTTAATTCAAATCCTATGGTGCCAACTCCTCCTGTCTTGGGTGCTACATTTAGTCCATACTGTCCATGTAACAGCGCATTGTGGCAAATTGTTTGGATGCAGCAAAGAGAAATAACTAATTTTGGAAGAGCTGTTTGTTCAGTAAGTTTCAAATATGTATAATTTCTTTTATTGAAACATTATTATTACTATCTAGTTTGATATACTATTATTATTTATTTGACTTGATATTGTATTCTAATTATGTATTTTTTACAGCTACAAGAACACTTATTGCAATTAACATCAAAGGCGTCAGCTCTGCAATCCAGTGATTCATCTACCAATAATACATCTACTGCACAGCATGTACAAACGTCTGCAAATATTGCGTCCATTACACCAATGCCTCATGGTAATACTAATTTACCATCACAACTTCCACAAAACTATCATGCTCAACAAGTAAAAATACCACAGAGCAACAACATGAATAACCTCATGCCAAACCATAGTCTGGTTTTACCTTCTACAAGTTCTCAAAATCTTCAGCAACATGAAATAGTTACTTCAGTTGCCTCCAATGAATCAATTATTAATAGGGTTTTTAATCCCGAAGTTATCAGCACTCTTGCGTCAGAATCAACTGTTAACTCAAATGGTATGAATTACATTTCACCGAGTTTTGAAAATTTGCAATATGTTCACAACAATACAGCTGGTCAAAATTTGAGTACAAATTCAAACAACATGAATTTGCAAAACCATGGGCAAATGTATCATAATGGAGAAGTATGCTTTGGAAATGTTTCGAATTTGGCTAATAGTCATATTACCTTGAATAATCAAGTTCCACCAGGAAACAGAGCTAATAATTATTGGGATAACTTTCGCAGGTAATTATAATTCATTGAATTAAACATTTGCACATTCTCAGATTTTTTCAAATAGCATTATTTATTTATGTGAGATCGTTTATGAAACATTAATTTTTTTGTGAGTAAAATTTAAATTATATTCTTGAAAAATAGTCATAAGGTAGATTTTCCTATTAGTCTTATTGTCAATAATATATTGGTGCCTCTAATTATTTGACATGACAAAGATCTTATATATATAAAATCATTGTTTTACATCGTATGCAAAAATAAAATGTTATTAGTTTAATAATTTGTGCATATGTTGATCTATAAATTAGTATATACTTTTTTATTCTGATGATTACTAAATCAGTATCTTTCTTTTTTTTCAATAGCTTTTATGTATAAAATAGTACAATAATTATTTAGGATTATACAGTTTTATTTTTTCTTGGAAAGCACATTTTTTCATATATTTTTTAAAATACATTGTTATGAAACAAAATAGGTTTAGTTTTTAATATTCTGATGATTACTACATCAGTATCTTTTACTGATAATGTGTAGAAGGCTATGTACACACAATTATTTAGAACTATTTATTTATTTATTTTTTGTAGAAGTTTATTAGATTTTTTTTTTGATCCCTGGAAATAAATTATCAAACATAAAATCGTTTTAGTTTTTATTGATTTCTAATCTATATTACTATAATTATAAACAAATTTCATATACATATATCATATTACATATCACTTAACATTTATTACCATATTTGATTCATTCAAAATTTAAATTTAATGTTTATATGCCGATATGTTTTAAGCAATGAATTATATGATTTTAAATGCTCTTTGTACCTTACTTAAATAAAAGTCTTCCTTACTAAGAAAAAGAATAGTTTTGTGTACATTTTTTAGTTATTTTCTAAATTGTAATAATAATTAGACAAAAGTAAATATAACTGTTTTTCTTATTATGACTTCGAGAGTATTTGCATTTGTGTAATTTTATAATTAATTATTTTTGGTAAGTTTTAGGCTTTGCTTTTGCTTGGAAACGATTAGAAATCAATTCAAACTTAAACACAATGTAATAAAATTTAAACATGTCGATGATAAATCAATATTTTTAAGAATTAGGATCAATTGATATGGTCTTTTCATACTTTTTAATTACAATTATTATTTCAAAGTTTGAAAATTTAATATTAATGTTTCAAAATATTAAATTCTATATTTATTTGGAACGCGTAACGCGTGAATTTAGTTATATTTACTGAATTATTTTCAATATTTTAAAAATATTGATCAATATTAAACAATATTTTTATTTATTTTTGTCTGAATATATTTATTTACTTTGATACCGATGATCTCATAATATATTTTTATTTTTCAGCTATTCTAGACAAAACCTATTGTCAGGGAATTCCAAATCCTCAAAAGAATCTATACCAACTGCGATCAGTCAATCTGGGCCAAGTCCTTTAGTTACTAGGTCGCACAATGCTTTACGTACTGTTGCATCCACAAGTCACGAGCGAATGTCTTTGCCTAAACAAAACACACAAGCAACATCTGAATTTCAAATAAATAATATCATCCAAGATCAAGTGAATATAGGTGATGTTAATTTACAACGGCAGCTTCAGAATCAAAGAAATCAAGTTTTAGAAATACAGCCGGATGTTTTGAATGTAAATCAAAATGTGCTCTCTACACAATTTTCTGCTCCTGGTACAAATACTCCTCAACAAGAAAATGCTGGAGGAAATAATGTTTCTAATTCAAATTCAATTCTGGGATCTCTTCATAATGGTAGGAACAATTAATTGAATTTTGTGTATTTGATAATATTCATTATGGCATAATCATTAAATTTTGTGTAAACCTTGTGTAAATAATAGCCCCATCATAGTTTGAAACCATAACTAATGAACAAAAAAAATGTTTTTGTTTTTCAGCTGTATTGTATACAGCTTTAAAGTATATTTTTATGCCAATGAAAACATTCGGGAATAATATATTTATTTTTTATTTATATTTTTGTTCATGTTTTAGGTTCCTGTGTCAACTATCCTGAGATTATTCAAACACATAGTTCCTTTGCAGATATAGCTCAACAGAATTTAAAAACTAACTTACCTGTGAAGAGTACTGGAACTAATAAGAAGAAATCAAAAATAACTACCGTGCGTAGTGTAAATGAGACTGAAAATAACCAACAACAAAATGCCATCGAGAATAGACCTGATCCGAATCTGTTGAGTAATGAAAATCTGGTTGCGCAACCCAAGTATGTATTGGATATAATACGACATATATATGTATGTATATATATATATATATATATATATATATATATATGTAATTAATTATTTTTAATTGTAAATTAATTCATTTAATTCTAGGTCAACTGTTAAACCGTTTGACCAGCTGAGAGAAGCTGTGTATGGAGAAGTGACTGCTCTTATTGCCCAAAATGAATCTAGACCGCAATATCTTTTGCAATTGTTTCAAAACTTGAGACAAGTTGGCTGTGATCCTTTAAGATATCAAGCTCTGAATGAAATCCAGAACTTGGTGTCAGCGGCACCTTCTACAGTAAGATAAAATAAGTCATAAATAAAGTCTTTGAAAAATATTACCATCTATATGATGTTACTTTCAGTGTTTTTAATTTACACTTATTTATGCAATTTATTAAGTGTTTAATAAAGTATTATTAAGATTAAAAATAAATTTCCTATGCTATACATTATGATAAACTTGATGACTTGATTATGGATCAATACAAAAAGTATTTTTAATTATGTTTGTCTATTTTTACAGTCACCTAACACTCAAGCAGGAGTTGCTCCTACAACATCAAATGCTGGTGAGTATTTGTGCTATGGTTTTGTTTCTTTAAACATGTTTTTGCCAGATGTCCTTTCTATATTCTCAATATAAAAAGGAGAATAATAATTTGGATATTGAATTTTATTCAGCAGATAACCCAAGAACACCATTGAAAGCAACTGCAAAATGTACAGGTGCCGTTAAAAAGGGTAATATCACTCTTCGAAAAGAAGATTGTGGTGAGCCGCTAGTGAGTCAAACTCCGTTATTTACAGAGGCTTTATCTAATATAGAGGGCAGTGATCAGAGATGCTCATCCACCACTGATGCTGAACAAACCTTTGATCAGGTATTATGCAAATAATAATAATAATAATAATAATAATGGGTGTTTTGCACCAGAGGCTGAGTTAATTTTCAACTTGTAACTGATTTTTTTTAATTCCAGATAAGTGTTGAAAATGAGCAAGGTGCAGTTTTTAGTAATTCAGTTTTCGAAGACCTAAATTGCGCTGATGTTTCCTGTTCTGAACAATCTTCTTATTTGGTAAATTTTCCACATTGTATTATGATAAAACTACTGATCTTACATCTTATTCATTTGGCTGCATTTTACAAATATTGCTTATTTATTTCTTTTAATATATATTAATTTTATTATGTTTTTATCTGTTGTTAAAATTTTATATAGATTATTTAGTTTACAATTAATAATTCACTTACTTTGTTAAGTTATTAACTTATTAACATAAGGTTTTACTGTAATTGTAATTTACTTGTGTTTGATAAAATTGCAGGTTGCAAAATCTGAGAGAAACTTCGATCCAACAAAATCCTCAAATAAAGTTTCAGGTATGAATTATATATATATATATATATATATATATATATATATATATATATATGTAAAAACATTGATCATAGATAATCTAGTATCTTCTTTGAACAATATGCATTTCTCAGAAGAAAATAATATAGAGCTTGGAAATGTAATTCAACCATCTAATAATGTTGCCAAGAATATACCACAAGCAGCAACAAATGAGGGCCAAAATGTGTATAGAGGTTGATATTTTTTCTGCAAAATTTTAATTTGAAGTTTTTGAAGCTTACAAACAATATTTGATTTTAGCCAACAATATTGTTGACAATGCAATACCATGTAACGAAGATCTAGCTGAAGCCGATCAGATAAGAATTTCTGGTACACTAAATGATGCAACCACTTCAACACAACCTGTTTCTGGAGACAATAGAGTAAAATAAAGTTATTACTGAGTTGCACCATTATTGAATAAATAATCAATAATCTTTATTTCATAGATCTTGCCTGAACTAGAGGAGCGTTCTAGAGATGGACAAAGTATGAACATGGCAGAAGGGGCTTGTGCTAGAGAAAATGATATAAATATGGTACTTCCATTACCTGATTTGGCAAGAATAGGCCCAGGAGGAGATCATGATATTACAGAAACAGTATGTAATTTGTGAAATTATTTCATTTCGTTTGTTTAAAGGTGTTTAATATATAACCCATAGAATCGATCTGTTTCAACAAGTGGTTTTGATCATGGTTTGGACAGGGTACCAACAAGACTAACAAATGGCCCTTGGAGTCCTGAATCTTCTATAAATGATAGTAGTATTGGTAATGTATATTATAGATAATATATTTTTTTTTACAAAAGAATATCTTATAATTACAAACTCCTGATTGAATGTTAACAGATTACTTTATTACATATACTTGATATATTTTTGTAGCAAGACTTTCCGTAAAGCATAATTTAATTGAAAATTATTTATCTTAATGGCCTAGTTGAAACATTGCTTTCTTTATTCTATACAAATTATTATTTTTATCCCTTATAGAATTAAAAATATAATCAAATTAACATTTTACAGATACTTCAATGCAAAGCAGTATAGAAGAATAAAAAAGATTCTCATATATGTATTTGGTTATTAACAAATTATTCAATATTTATATATATATTTATATAAACTATTTCTATGATATTATTTCAACAAGTATTATTGGATATAATAATTATTTTCTCATGTCACTTTTATAATTTATTATAAATTTACTTATAATTTAAAAGTATTTTGATACTGTTAATTAATAAAAATAAAACATCCCTGGGATTTAATTTGTACTTTAAATTCTCTAATATATAAATTTCTTCTAAGTAAATGTATACATTGAAGTACTTGAGATCACTATAATATGAGCAAAATTCATTTTTTTAATCAATAATAGTCTAATAAAATAATAAAGATTTATATACTACAACCAACATTAAATTATAAATTAAACTTTTCTATTTGATAACATAAAGCATGTTTTAGTAAGCCGGTTTTTAGAATAACCAAGTTTTACAGTACGGACTCTAATATAAAATAATATTCTCTATACATAGTTATTATAATTCATATTCAGCACTGCTCATGAGTTCTTCGTCATGTTTTGCTTCAAAATTGCTTAAATTTTCTGAAATATGTATTTAAAAAAAAATCTCATGAATAATCCTGATACAATGATAATAATATATTGGCAAAAAAATTCTAAGAAACCACTTAATTATAATTCAAATTTATGATATTAACATGTTCGATTTTTAGATAATTAATATACTATGTTCGTCATAACATCTGTTACGTTATAATAACGTTTTAATTACGTTCGTGGTTTACTGGTTTTTTTAAATAGTAGTACTGTAAATACTTTGTCATTTTATGGTCTTAAATCTTATTTCATAGATTTTTTTGATACATTTACCAATCTTACTTTAGTTTGTTTTACCAGTGAATTCCAGATTATTCGTTACTCACTTAGACAAAATCGTTTTTTATCAATTTCTTCACTTCCTGGAATATCTGCTGGTCGCTTCCTGTTAACAGTGTTATCCATTTCCATAGCTACTTCCTCCGGCTGCTGATCATTCTTAATTAAGTGGTAGTTTTGTTGACCATAATAACCACTGCATGATATGTGTACTGGATTTGTATTTGCAGTAAATGAAGTAAAAATTCCAACATTACAATGTCTAGCACGGGTGCTGAGGTCCATTTCGCTAAATGTGGTGGGCATTTTTGAATTTTCTGAAATGATATATTTAGTTACATGAGGCAACACTAATGGAATAGTAGTCAGTAAATTTGGCTTATGGCAACACTTTAAAGCGGCTATAACAAGATTTGTAGGTTATGTTGTTAAAGGTAATTGAAAATTTTTACAAAAAAGATATTGTTACGGTTTTTAGTGTCATTTATCATATTCGTACACATATACCTGCTTAATATAATTAACACTTGATAATGGTTCCGTCGATGTAAGTTGTTTCCTTGTACAATATTTTTTTGTTACGAAATATTATACGCTTTTTGTATGTTTACATATGTTGTTTATAATATTTATATTATATATTTAATATAATATCACAGTAAATTATAATTTAAATGTTTATTTAACAACTTTGTGTGAAGTTGACACCACGCATACGGAACGTTTCTTCCTGGCAAATAAGCAAATCTCTACTTTGAAAATGCTTTGATGTCATGTACACAAACACATGCGAATGCATATACACAATTATGTTGTAATTTGTTTATGTAATTTATTATAATTCCACTTGGTTTTTTGGTAGGGATATTTTATTGCAATAGAAACTTTTGAAATAACTTTGAGAGAAATAGTTCATTGATTATAAATTTATAGTTGGGAAAGTGTCTCAGAATGATGTATTGATTACTTATATTGAAATTTAATTGAAGATTATTGTTGTCAAACTTATAGTACAATTTAAAAAAAATAACTTCAGTTTTAAATTTTAAATGATCAAGATAGTTTTTCTACATAGAGAAAATTTAAAGCTGATTTGTCATTCCTTTGTGATTTCTATCAGTTATTTGGTTATTTATTGATCATTTTACAATTTAATATATATTTAACTTTTCGTAGGGTAAGTTCTAGTAATCGCAAAAAATCCAAAATATTTTGTTTGTATATCTTAACGTTTGAAAGGTTTCTGAACATTTTGACTTAAAAAAAATGATTGTGTGTGTATGTATACATGTGTGTATGTGCGGATACATTTTTTCGCCGACGTTTTCGAGAGCACGGATCAACCGATTTTTGCAATTCAAATAAATAACACGGTCATTTATTCTTTATTATTTTATTTCTTATACTTTTTTTCCGTGCGTGTTTGTAGCATTATTTGTAATATACTTTTGCGTGTGATTAATAACAAAATTATTTTATTCGTCATTTTATTGTTTATAAATTCTGTTTTAAGTAGAGTATATTTACTCATTGTTCGAATGCACTCAGGTTTCGTTCGTGTAGAAATTAATTACAATTTTAAATATTTTATACGGAAGGCGCTAATTTTGAAAGTTATATTTAAATTTCTGACAATATTTGAGTAAATGTTAATACAATAACTATAAATACTTGCAGGAGGTAAAAAAATAATAAAATACAATGCGTATGCATACACACTTAGAAATACATTTTTAATAGAATACTATAGTAAAATTGATAAATTTTCTATAGGGTGTCATAGTAATCGCAAAAAAACGAAAATGAAAATTTCTATATATATATATCTTTGCTTTTCAAAGGTTTCTGAGAAAATGATGTACATATGTGTGTGTGTGTTCAGATTCCAGTTTTCGTAGACGATTTTGTGAACACGGCTCAACCGATTTGAATTATTCAAAATACATTCGATTAGTAAATTCGAGTAAAGGAAGCTCCAATCGTTTCGAAGATACGAGGCCAATTTTTTCAAAATTCTCAAAAATGTAATTTTTACTAAGTTTAAGAATAAATTTAAGAATTGCGCTTCGGGAACTTCCTGGAATTTGCCTTAAGGCACGATGCCATGTCACTATAGTTAATATTGATATCAGAAGAATAATTTAAAGAAGAGAATTTAAAACGACGAATAAATTTGGTAGAATGTGATTTTTCAGTTTTTGCTTTGGGCACGATGCCATGCACCAGTTAATGTTAATATCAGAAGAAAAAATATAAAATTTCAAACGACGAATAAATTTGTCAGTGTAGTAACAATGTCGATAAAACATCACATTTGAAAGAGCATTTTATATTAATTTTTTGCGAAAAATGAAAAATACTTAAGTATTAAAACATTTATTCAATTCTAATACAAACTAATTTTCGCGTTCACGGGTCAACCGATTTTGGATAATTAAAAAAAACATTCGATTCGTATTAACGGGAAGACGTGCTGATCAGTTTTTAGTAAATGCGAGTCCAATTGTTTTGAAGATTTTTTCAAAAACTAAAAAATGTAAAATAAAAATAAAATTTTTAATTGCGCTACGGGAAGTTCTAGTACTTTGCTTTGAGGCACAATGCCATGCACTACTAGTTAATATTAATATCAGAAGAAAAATATAAAATTTCAAACGACGAATAAATTTGTCAATGTAGTAACAATGTCGATAAAACATCACATTTGAAAGTGCATTTTATATTAATTTTTTGCGAAAAATGAATATTATACAAATATTAAAACATGACTAAATTTTATTACAAATTAATTATGTTTAGTATGTTTTTATATATAACATGTCTATAAGGCTTAATGCAAATAATTATTTTCGTTCCCTCGATAGTGTTTAGTGTTCTCGTCGGCCGACAGCCGACAGGTTGATTAAGCAGCCATTGATTTTTTAGCTACAAATGGTTACAAACATGACTACATCTAGAGGTGTGGTTATATTGTATTATAATAGTTAATAAATCACCAACACAACGTTAATATGCTTAGTACTGCTAAAAAAGTGACGTGAGAATCAGATATGACCATATCTGAACTGAATAACTAATAATTCCAGTTCTCGTAAGAATGTTTTTTTCGATGACAGAACCATCAGTTTATTGTATAGTGAGGTTATGCGATAGTCACATAGAAAATTCGGAATAAATCCGCACAATGCCCAGTTGGGCACAAAGGATGCATCGAAGGGCTGTTGTTTTGGGCATTGTAATGACTGCTTGTGGTCACCCTTGGAACGGGCCTTACCCCCACAGGCTTGATAAAGTTAAATTCGGAGTCGCTCTGTCAGAGGTTTTCAAGAATGGCATTCCCGCCCCTCTGTTGGTGCTCATATTGAAATTGAATAAAGAGGCACCGACGAGAAAGGATGTCTTCAGGGCTCCGGGGCACCAGGCTTCGATGAAGAAATTAGTACATTTTATGTCAACGGGGAGGATTACTAATGTCGATAACTATTCTGTGTATACAATTGCAAGTGTTTTAAAGAAGTTTTTAAGAAAGATTCCTGGAGGCGTTTTTGGAACTAAGGGGGAGGCTAGGATGTTCGAGATCATCAAAATGCAAGATGAGGATGAACAATGTGAAGCAGTACATAAGTGAGTAATAATTTGACACATGTATATTTTAAATATAAAACTCGTATCTACAACTATGCAATAAAATTTAAACTATTTTTAGCTTAAAATTATCTTGCAAGAAGCAGACTTGTGAATATCCAATATTGAATATAAACAATTGTTGCATCCCATAATGATTTTTAAATTTGAATTTAATATAAATTTTATACATCTTAGACAGGCAGAAGTGCCTGGTATGACAGATCGTACAAATTATCTATACAAAGTATATATATATTTTATATATATTCTACATACAATAAGGTCATTGCAACATTTATAGAATAGAACTTTATTAAAATTCAATAGTTACAATTTAAGCCATTTACAATACATATATACAGTGGACCCTCGGTAATCCGGCCCCTACCTAGTCCGGCACCCCTTGTAAACCGACATTGATGAATATTTGCATGCTTCTTAAATTGCATACATATGTAGTTGATTCATAGTTTTTGATTACTTTAGTATGTATGTATGTATGTACATTTGTTTGTACAAAATTATTTCCTAACGTAAAGTTATTGCATATTTCTTGTAAAAAATGTAAGCTCTCTATTGTGTTTTTTAACTTCCCGTAGGGTAAGTTATTGTAATGGGCCGAAAATAGTAATTGAAAATTTTTACATTTCTCGACGTTTTGAAGGTTTTTGAACATTTTGGCATACCTCAGAAAAAGTGGATGTGTGTGTGTGTGTACGTATGTATGTATGTGTGTATGTATGTATGGATACAAATTTCCAGTCACGTTTTAGGGCGCACGGATCAACCGATTTGAATGGTTCAAAAAACATTCAATTCCTATTGATAGGGAAAAGAGCTGATTAGTTTTTGGCAAAGGCAGGTCCAGCCGTTTTGGAGATACGGAGCCAGATATGTAAAAAATGGCAGTTTTTGAGAGAACTAAGCGTCCGATTTAAATGGTTCAAAGAACTTTCTGCTTGTCTTAACAAAATAATTGATTTTGAAAAAAAAAATTGTATCATTTTTTTTTTTGTATTTCGAAAATAATTCAGATTTCATTTTTAATTCTGACTAAAGTTCTAATATACTAATTTCTAATATTCTAAAATATATAATTTCAAATTTGCAATTCAGTTTATATAATTCTCATAAATATTACACAATGCTACAGTATTCATTTATAATAATCTATTTGAAAACATTCAGTATTCCTCGAACATTTCGTTACGGTACGGGAAGTTCCAGCAATTTGCCTTAAGGCACGATGCCATACACCACACTAGTTTACTTTTTATATAGTGCAAATGTGTGATATTCTATTGGGATTAGGGATAATTCTGTTCAATTTTCTGAATTTTTGTGCATATCTGATCAGGAATCTTACAGCTTATGATTGGAATTGTTAATATTTTTATTGAAAATATATCTTAAACTATTTCTAGTATTTTATATTATTTTTAGAGTCATGAATAGAATTTAAATTTCTTCATTTTGATTTCACTTATTTGGAATTGCTTAATCTGGGATCAAAATTTGCTCATAGTGTTGATATTTTAAAACAAAGTCACTAATGCATGATACCAAGAAAGCTGATTAATAAATAATAACCCATTCATTACTTTCTTATCTTTCTTAATAATATATGTGCAATGATATTTATTTGTTATTTGATCCAGGTTAATAGTGATTCATCATACATACAGAATATATTTGCCTTGTAGTAGTTCATATAATAATAAAATTAAAGTCTATCATTTTTTTAACGCTCGTCTTACTTAAACAAGGTCTCAAGTTATTTGAACTCGTAGAAGAAGCTGTATAAAAGCATATCCTAATCTATATAATATAATTTATTTTGCATTTTAAAATTGCTCTCAATTTGAGTAACAACCTCTTTATTTCTATTATTCACATGGATGATCATACATATGTATATTCTTGTCAAATTTCAATGTTTTGTTCAGTATTTTATGGTACAGAATATAAAAAATAATATGATATAATGCATTTTATATTGTTGTTAAGAAGAAAGAACTTTTCTGAGGAAACACACTTTTACTTTATGAATATATATTCTCTATTTGGGTGAATTTTTGAAACATATTTATAATTTTTTTTTTCTTTCTTTACAGCCTCCTGGCTTCTCTACCTTCACATACTCAACGTTTGTTGGTTCTTCTACTTGGCACCTTCCGGGTGATTGCAACAAATGCAGAACGGGCTGATACCGGAATGAGCAGTGAGGCTTTGGGGGTGTCTGTAGCACCCAGTTTCTTTCATACTTGTGTTGCAGATGGAAAAACTGCCAGAATGCAAGATGTAGATAAATATAAGGTAGGGAATTTATTATGTTTTTTAGTTATTTAACTAAAAAGTTGTATATTTGAACAATTGATCTCAATTATTTGACGATACTATTATGGTTATAAATATTTCATTAGTGTGTACTCTATACAATCAATCTCAATTATCAGATGATGCTATCGTGGCTTCTATCTTCTATTCTTGACAATATTTTGAATAAGTATTTGTAATACATTGCAAATTAGTAAATGGTAGCCATTTAAATTTAATGGAATTTGATTAATTAGCATCAATTACAAAGATATTTTAGTTTCATCATTCCTGATGGAATAGAACTGGACAATTTACAAGTCAAAAAAGTGGAAAGAAAAACAGTTTATTATTTTGTATTAAAACATATAAATAATTTTTAGAAATTTGCACATAAAGCCTGATAAAAAAAAATCAGCGTAAATATATTTTAGCAAAACACACAAATTTATTTTAACTATTTCTGCAAACAATATTTTACTTTTGGCAATATTGAAAATTGTTATGTCGTCAGGATATCATTCTGGAAGGAATAGTAGAATCTAGAATCTAGAATTTTTAAATCTAATTTTCCAATTTTTTGATGGGGTGACATCTACTCATGATCAAGTTTTTTTTAATAATCTGGTCATAAACACTGGTTTGATGACTAATCACCTTTTTTGCATAAACTTCTTTTCAATTCAAATCCTCTTTTAATGATAAAGTTTTTCAAATAAAAAATAAAATTTGTTTGCAGCTTCATTTAATTATAATTGCTATTTATAAAACATTTCAAAGTATTAAAATTAATTTAATAAGGAAAGCTGCAAAAGATTGTGTTCTTTATGGGAACTTCATCAAAAGTACATATATATAGAATCATAAAAATTTGGGTCACACTGCTTCTGTTGCATTATGATTGTATATATCGAATTTATTTGATAAAAAAATTCTTCAGATTGAATTATTGATAGTACAATCCCCTAATCAAAGCAGTCGAATGACTTCATCAATGTTTTCTTCTAAAACTATGCTTGTAATGAGATTAGAACTTTTAATGAGGCATAACAATATTCATAATTAGCATACACAATTCTTTCTTAATAAATAGTTAAGATTAGTATTTGAACGCTGTACATTTTGGCTTTTGCCCATATGCTTACCAATTTTTAAGGAGGACGTTTGGGTGAGTTATCTATGTAGACTTGTTCATGTTTAGATTTCTTAAAAGTGACATAGTTCTATTATTCGAGCATTCTTCTAATGAATGAAGGCGTTTGTATATATAATACATTATTATGCTTGTTAATTAATAATTTCATGCATATCATAATATCAGCAACATTAGTAATTTTGACTATAAAATGGTTCCTACCACCTCGATTATTTATCTTCTCAATAGGAAATCAATTTTGCATGCCATTTCTTCTAAGCTTATCGTTAGTTAAACACGTATGCTTGGTTTGATATAATTTAAATGATATATTTAAATGCACTTTGCATATAAAAATAATTTTCATTATATATAATATATATATATATATATATATATAACCATCTTTGGAAATACGAACACACTGCGATATTTTTTGCACTATTTATTAAATAATATTTAATGTACAAACGTTTCAAGACATTTGTGTCATCAGTGTAATATATATACAGATATTTATACTGATGAGATAAAACCATAGTCATCAAATTATGAGTTGATAAATATTAAGATTGAATTTTGAATACACAACCAAGCATCATAAATAATTCAATATTATATTGAATTTAAGAGTATATATATTAAAACGCATTAACTAATCAAACCGATTTTTTTTCTAATTAAACTGTTTAATTACCATATAAAATCTTACTCATCTAATGTACTGGATATTATATCTACCATTTCATAGTATCTACTATAAAGTATTATTCATTAGTTCTGTATCAATTAAAATATTTCATACAACAGTAGCCAAATGCGGTACACTTGAATTATAAACACCATTCCAATTGTATGCAATAGTTAATGAATTACAATTCAGTTAGTAAAGCAAATAATTAAAATTCATTGCAATATTTTGAATTTGAAATACAAATATTACAGTAATATAGATTAGAATGGATTCAATGTTGTAATGCGATAATTGTAAATAATGCATTGTATAATTTTATTATCACATTACACTTGAAAGCTTATGTTCACGCCTCATAAATTATAATTCATTTTGCAATTAGGCTTGTGCATGAAATAGTAAAATTTTCTTTATTTAATAAATACAACAAAATATTGCTTAAGTAATTAGCGAGATTACCATTGACAATATTACCACAACTCAGTATATTTTTTTCGGAATTTAGAAATTAAATTTATACTTTGTTTGATGATTGCTATCATCTTTTTGTGCCCATCGGTGTGGAACTCAGCGTATTGCAAAAGGGAATGCCAATTTTAGTTTGATTCGAATTTATCACATTAAAATTTATAAGAAAAACAGCTTGTTAGCGACAGAAAATAGTCTCTTAAAACTAGCTTTTTTTTTAACTTTTTTTTAAAGAATTTTTTTTGTGAATATTCTAATCTGTTACAACTCAAACTTGAAAATAAACCAAAATCGCTAAAATATTTTGATATAATTTATAGATTGATTTCGTATGACACATGTTCAAATTTATTTTATAGAAGTTGATTTAAAGTCATTTAATATATTTTTATTTGCCAACAATATGTCTTCAGTTATATCTTTAGGATCTGCGATGGGTTATTCAAAATCTAGTACAAGGGCGAGCAACCTTTTTAACCCACGGGCCAATTTATATTTTAAAATTTTATGTATACATATACTAGCTGACCCGGCAAACGTTCGGCCACAAGAAATATTTCTAGAATATTATTACTATAAAAAATAACTAATTCTCAATGTATAAATATGTGGAATATAAATGAAAGGGGCAGCTAGCACAAATTACATTCATAATTTACCCACTTCAACGCTAAAATACTAACATTCATTTTTGAATTATGTTATGCTATGCTTAGCGAATCGAGTGAAATTTCAGTTTTCTCTGTTTTTTCTACTTTTTGAATAGAATTGAACCTTTTTATAAACTTAAAAATCTGACAAAATTAGCCTTTATTAACCGTATTTGATAAAATATCTAGAAAAATAATCTGTAGTTGAGAAATGCTTGGCGGGTCGTGCGTTGCTCAACCTTATCTAGTACCTTATTTTGAGATCTAATACTTGACCCTTCTGGCCTTCTGTTATTTAGAGCCAATTCAACTATTTATGAGTTTTATATGAACATATCAGTGCTTAGAGGTTGTTTTAGACTAAGCATACATGAATGAAGAAAATACCATAAGTTGTATGCAAAATATTATTTTTTAAAGTGAATATCATGATCCATTTTTTTATTTGTAGCTTAAACCAAATATTATTATTACCTCATTTTAACTTACAATTATCATGTCATTAATTTCATTTGTCATTGTTTCAGATGGCGACTCGTGTTATGAAACTTCTGATAGAACATTTCACAGCTGGTGCATTATTTGAACGAGAGATGTATTTATATTACGCTCGTGTTACCGGAAGAGTTCTGCGCGTTGGAGATGAATGGATCTGCAGCTTCCGTGATCCGCCACCACCGAAAAGTGCAACTGCACAACAACTTTATGCTCGTGAGTAATTAAAAATAACCTTTTGTATTTATTAAACTGCTGAGATAAATATTCACGGTTGATATGGCTCCATAAATTTGTCGCGAATGAAGGAGTTGTTAATGCTGATCTGTAATTTATATAGAATTATAGGAGATACGTTCCTAAGTCACAAAGTAAAAGAAGTATATATGTAAAAAAATCAATTTAATTGAACTGCAGTTCATGATAACCGAAACATAATTTCTTAGGGACTAAATCGCGTTTTGGGTCAGAAAACGTATTATATTGGTTAAAAACTATCACTAGATGATTCAACGTGCAGGAATCGGCATATTGTACCGTATTATGCGGAAATAAGGCATGATTGTCTTACTCGTTTTTTATAGTATTTGGATATTTTGATTAATTATGTTAAAACCATAATAAATTTAAGCAATGATTTGAAGAGCTATGTAATTAATTTTCTCTTGCTTTTGGCAGTTTTTGCATTAGCAATTGGCCTTTAAAAGCAAAATTTCGTTTCATAGAAGTATCAATGTTCGTAATGATGTGGCAAAGTTTATTTGCCATTGTTAAACCATGACTAATATTTTTAAAGTTATTAGTGGCGTTTCCAATGCTAATTGATGCCTCTTCTTCTTCATATTAATGTTGGTTATTACTATTATTTAACATTTTCCCCACGTGGGTTTCAGTCAAATATTCATCTTGCAATTTGAGCAATTCCTGAAATTAACTTCATTCCATCTATTTACTAGTTGTTCGTTTAATGTGTTAGATTATTTACAAAGGGTATTTTACTGAATACTTATTTGAATTTTATTGTTATTAACTTCCCGTAGGATAAGTTATAGTAATCGCAAAAAAATCGAAAATGAAACTTTTTATATATCTTTACGTTTCAAAGGTTTCTGAATATTTTGGCATACCTTAGAGAAAATGGGTGTATGTGTGTGTGTGTGTGTTTGTGTTTGTGTTTGTGTACGGATACAAATTTTTGTCGACGATTTCGGGAACACCGATTAACCGATTTGAATAATTCAGAAAACATTCTATTCGTAGTGATAAGGAGACGTGCTGATTAGTTTTTAGCGAAGGCAGGTCTAGCCGTTCCGAAGATATGGGGCAAAAAGTGCCAAAAACGGTTAATCAGTTTTTAAGAGAACGGAGCGTCCGATTTTAATAATTCAAAAAAACATTTTACTCGTATTAATAAGATGAAGAACTGATTAAATTTTTGGGAAGGCAGGTCCAGCGGTTATGGACTCTCAATAAAAATAAATTTAAAAAAATGGCGGTCAAAAATGTTTATCGGACATTTGTACATCAAATTATTAGATATTTTATAGAGATTTTAATAATGTTGTACACATTTTGTGTAAATTTCTTTTGGGTTTCGTACCAAGATTTTTAATTACGGTACGGGAAGTTCCAGCAATTTACCTGAAGACACGATGCCATGCACCACTAGTTTTATCATGTGTATGCTTATTAGATCTGCGAATAAACAAACTTTTAGTCAGTAATAATCAAATTCGATCTCATTTTTAATCCTCGAATGGTGAAAACGCAAAAGAAGGAAACACAGCATAAGGAACCTCTTATGCATTTGTAACGCGTATTTTATTTTGATTATAAGTTACCTTTGGATTCACTTTGGATTCATTGGTGTAAAAAAGCATCATCTGGGATTTACACATGTCCTTTCTGATGGTAATGGTGTAACGATTTTATTTTCAGGGCAATTGTCATTAGAAGCTGAACAAACTTGGCTTCAATGTGAATGTGCACGGTGGGGCAGAAAATATAACCTTGGAGGTAAGAGAAAATTCATATTTATTATTTGGCAATTAATTTTACTGCGTCCGTATTATCTCTAAATTACATGAAGTATTCATGTTTTTATACTAATTTTTCTTTTAAAGATACCATTCATTCATTTTTATTATATGTTTATAAGGTTATCTTGATATGGCTTATATCTAGTAATTGTACAAATATCTGACTTGAATCAATGCAATAAATTCAATTAAATAGAAAGTCATTTTTTCAATTACATACGTAGCTGCTGCCTTGTTCATGAGTAATGCGATTGTTTAATTTCTTTTTCCTGTTTTCATTTAACAATCTATGAGTCACATAGTATGATTCCATTGTTCGATTTTAAATACATTAGTAATAAAAATTAACGCAATTAAAATTTCATTTTTATTTTTTTTATATTTTTTGTAGGCGTGACATCACAAGAAGAATCTCAATCGACACCTGCTTTGACTTCCGATATATCTGGAAGTGGAGGAGGTGGTGGTTCATCTTCTGGAGGAGGCGCATCTGCTTCTTTGGATATGATACCAGAACATTCGCTTTTGGAATCGTGTGCTCGGCTTTCTGTGTCCTTGGAGGGTCCTGCGGGGCTCTACGGCGGCGGGACCGCTTCTTCCTCGGCCCAAACCGGAGCTAACGTTTCAAGTTGTTCTAGCAGCCGCTCCAGCAGGTTAGTAAAAATATTAAGAAAAGAAAATTTTTATAACTTGCAAATTAAAATTTGAACAAATTATGAGAAATAGTTTCAAAGAGGTATTTTGAAAATTTTCGTTTTTTTTTTGAGTTTCAGAGCAAATGATTAGTTCAACCCTTTCTATGAATGATTTTTTATAAAAATTAGAGATTGCTTTATTATATTCCGCTTACTTTTTGTTTATGTATTTTACTAACACGACGTTGAGTTGTGTAAAAGGCGCTAAGTTAATTAGTTTCAAATTGAAAATTTGAACAGTCTATCGCAATATTATTATTCTTTTATTGGTAGGCTACATATTCACAGGCATATGTTTAAGTAAACACAACTAATTTAAACATTATACTTTTATCTTTCATAACAGTGCATTCCGAATGTTAGATCTAGTGACACGTTGCGTATTTAATTGACGTTAGTAGTTGTGTATAAAGTGGCTAAATGTGTTAATTTTTATTTAGAGCACTTATCGACTCTTGGAATACCGTTTTTTTTAGTTTGAAGAGTAAAGAATTCATAAAAATATATAGAACTGCCTAAAGGTTTTTGTTTGCTCGTCATATTAAATTCTGTGAACTTTATTAATTTGTTAACGTAATTGAATTGTGATGTCGTCGATGTAAGTTTAAAAAGAAAAATAAGTTGCACAAATATTACAGATTTTTTCAACGATACTATTAGTTTTTTGCATATATTTTATATTTATTTATAATTTAATTTTGCATACTGTATTGTCTTTCTTTAATGGGGGTAATCTAGTGTAGACGCATGAATTTTAGGTAATCGCAAAAAAGGCAATAAATTTTTGTACTATTATTTTTTTATAATTTATTTATTCTCTTTATAAATCTTTATAAGAGTACAGAAAAAAATTAACCAAAATATTAAAAGAAACAAATTGAAACAAAAAAAAGTTAATAATTAAAAGTTAAAAATTAGCCGTGGTTAAAGTGAGGGGCTCAAAAGTTGGCACGTGACTGTGTACACGATTGCAACTCTCTTAGTAATTTGAAATGAACAAAAAAGAATAATAATTCCTATTAATCTATAATGATGTTGCTATGGTATATACTAGAATTGAGTTGAAATTTTTTGTTTTGGCAGTATTGATCAGTTTATCACCACTTTTTTGAGTTTCTCGATCTAAAAATAGTAAAAATTGAAATTTGAGGATGAGGCTAGTACATACTAGAGAGAAGTCTATAAAGAAGATTCTTTGACAATTTCAAGTGAATCGGTTCAGTAGAACTCGAGAAATTGTGTACATCGTATGGAAAAGGACAGTTCAGAGAGAAACGCGTTCAAAGTTTTTAAAGAAGAAGATTTTAAAAAATCTGCTCGTATATATATAGTTAAGCTTCATAAAAAAAATTAAAAAAAAAAACGCTTTTTTTGAATTTCTACACTAGAACACCCCCTTAAGGAAGGTTTTATTTAACATACAAAGGTTACTTATGAGCATCAAGCTTTTACAATTTCATATAGTTACTAGATTCCTCCACATTTCTATACAAGATTATTATATGTAGTTATTTTTCATACTGTTTTTTATTTTGAAGAATAAAGAATGCATGAAAATATATAAAACTGTTTAAAGGCTTTTGTTTGATTGTCATATTAAATCCTATGAATTTTTCAGTATTTCTATGAAGGATTTAGGGAGCATTTTTTAATGTAATAATTTTATACTTGAAATTCCGTCGATAAATCTAATTATGAAATTACTCAATATTTATTTTTAATAAAAACATTTAATTATTATTATCTATTATTAAAGTTAATTGATTTTTTGCTATTTTACAGGTCTAGTTCACACCACATGACGCTGGAAGAGTTGCGTGCAGTAAATCGTTACGCGGAGAGTACGAAAAGTCTCACGTACCTGCCTCAGGTAGGTCTTTGTGATTCTCCTGAAACTACACCTAGGCTTGCACACGTCATATGAACCTAAAAAATTAACTTCTCTAAACGTTATATATTTAACAAAACCTACACTCTATCCAAATCATCATCCAAATTTTGCATATGCCGTTTTATATAGAATCAACACTTTTAAATAATAATCAGCTATGTGTGGAAATGAGTGTGTGTGATTATATAGTCAAAATAATTTTGTTATTACATATGTATTTTTGTAATCGCTTTTACTCGTTTGTTTGTTTATACGAGCATGTATTTATATTTTATATATTTATGTATTTGAGTATGCAATTATTTTATCTTAAATATATTAAATATCTTTTTTAATTTTTATTATTAGTACGTGAAATCTTTTTATACTGCATTGACCAAACTATTTCAACCATGGTTTAATATAGAATCTGTTCACTGATAATTTTTATATTGTGTAGGTAATTAACGTTAAATTAGGTTTTCATAGTCTTTGCCCATAACTTAGCACAAACATGTATATAAATAAGTACAAGTTGAACTAGCGGAAGAATAAAAATATTCCCAGAAAAAAAATTTCATACTTATTAAACCTCATACCGGTCAATTATACATAAAACTTAATCTTTACATAAATGCATTTTCTATTTTATATATTAGAATCAGTATTTACTTGCTAATTTCTTGCATGATTTTTCAATTATTGTCCGAATCATTTTATTCGAGTTGACGGTAGTTTGACATGAAGATAAAAAATGATTTAAATACTGCACCCATAAAAATATGAATATAAACTCATTTTTAATTGAGCGTTTTGCCATTTCATTTAGCCTCATGCTTATGCTCAAATTTTGTTTAGATTGAATGATAGGTCGTTTTATTCGAACATGATAAAACTAAAGACGAAGCTATTGTCGGTATCAATAATCATAATCTAGATATTCAAACAACTAATGATATTCCATGTAAACACTATATATACTTTAAATATTGGATATTGTATAGTACACATTTTTCATCATTAGTTGGCTTGTTTTTACGATACGATTAGCCTTTTCTTTTCAATACTCTTTCTATTTAATTTTTAGAAATTTTTAGAGAGACCTTACTTGCCAATATTTTGTAAAATGAAAATATTATCTTGGAGCGTGCCTTCAACATTTAGAATGAAGTTTGTTATGATGAACGAAATAATGTTAAAGTTGAGGTATAATTACTGAAAACTATACATTTTTCTGAATGCTATAAAGATTGTTGTGATTTGCAGATATATATTTAAAATAATTTATATTTAAAATAATTTTTATTTAAAATATTATATACGCATAAAAAGTGATTAAAAACTAAGGCATAGGCAAAAATAATGCACAAGTTATTGTAAAATAAAATTAATACCTAATGTGAAAATATTTTGCATAAATATATTAAGTATTATATTTATGCTTATTAGCTTAGTTTTATCATCTGTAAGTAATACTTGTAAATTATGTCACAAATTATTTCAAAGAACATGACAGTATTTTGATTTTCCAAATATTCGAAAAAGACTGATATAGACTCTAATTGCTGCATTTAATTTGTTGCTCCATTTCCTGTGTGATGTGTGATGTATGTTCAAATATTGATGAATTATAGCATACTACCTATTATAATGTTTGGTTGTTTTTGGAAATTGGTGTTTGATCCATACAAAATTATTGATTTCTGTCTAAATATCTATTAAGTCGTTCCAAATATAAACGATTATTAGGTAATAAATATAACAAGTATTAAAACTTACTAAATACTTAATTAACAATATCATACCAACAATATTCTTATTATTGGCGGCTTTAGTAGTTCTCAATTTTTTTACCAAGATAGAATTGAAGGGAATTAGATTTATTAGAAAATCAGTATTCTATGGACAATATAGTTTTTCAATTTATATGATTTACATATATGTATATATTATAAAAATATTGAGAACATTTATTTGTTCGTTAAAAAACTTATAGAAGGTCACTATTTGTTATATTCTGTTATAAGGGCTCAAAAGTTACAGATTTTAGGGCATAAGGCATATGAAATATAAGTAATAATTTTATAAAAAAACAGTATTCATATAGGTTTAAATATAAGAATGTTCTTATCAAATACATTCCAATAATAAATTTATGAATAATATAAATCCTATGCGAAATATTCATAAAACGCTTGAGAGATATTTAGTAATATGTAAAAAAGTAAATTTGTTACTTAATGTACTTATAATTCTACAATTTAATTGTATTCTTTTAACATTGCGCGAATATCCCTCCAATTTCTAAGTAAATTTTTAAATTGATGAAATTATAAGTTTATTGTTAAAAATTATACTTATAGTATTTATTGTAAGATACATTTTGTTTTTCACATAATACGATTGTTCGGTCTTTAGAATTTACGATTAACTTTTTATTCCGTTAAAAATTTTATTTTTTTTATTTTTTTAATAAATAGTTTATAGTTATTGCTAGTGTTATAATATATTATATCGATGTTAAAACCTGAAGACAAAAAAATCGTATTGTATGCAAAAACAATACTCATGTTGAGATGCAGGCGAACATTTTATATAATTTTGAAGCATTTATATTAGATATTAATTTTCAAAATAGATTTTAAAATGACTTCAATCCTTAAATGAATTTATAATAAAATGATCGCCTCTCTACTGCCACTTTTGATCTGATATAACATGTTTATTTATTTTTTGTCAGGATTTTCTTAATTTATATTAACATTTTTGCACTATCTGATTCTGAAATACTATTAAAACTTGCATGTAAGCATGTTGTGTTTCATTTCATTTTATTTCGTTGTCGTGTCGATTATTTTACTAAATATCTACATTCATCTTTATTATTAATCTCAATACTTAAGAGATTTTTAAGAAATTATATAATGATGGATGTAGCTATTCATGTTTGAATATAATTGCTGTTTTCATAAATATAGATATTGCAAAAAATCTTTGGGTTTGTGCGAGCATCAACTGGTGCATTTGCAAAAATATACATTATATACATCATATTTCCTTATATAAAGGAAATAAACAATACAAGAAAATTTTGTTATATTTTTGCACTGTGAAAGTTTTGGTTTTTGTACAGTCTGTTATTTACAATTTCTATTATTACTATACTTTTTGGTTACGGTTTCTGCTTTATATATCAATGAGTGTGATTATTTATTTAATTCTTTATATTTAGTATTTTTATAATGTATCTCGTCCGATTCATTATACTTTTCTGTACGGCGAATTCATAAACTTTTGTTTTTAAGTCTATCTATATCTGGTGGCAAATGATACTTAATTTGTTTCTTTATCATTTTGTAAATGAAGTTCCTGAATTATTTAGCAAATGCATAACTTTATTTAAATTACAGGTCCTGTGTTTATTGTAATTACAAATTACTCTTTATTTTTCAATTAAAAAGTTAGTTCATACAGCAATTTTGGAAGTTTTGTTAGCCACCAATTGTTGAAGATATAAAATACCAAATCATCTTTTGAAAAGAAGATAAGCAAGATTCTACTAAGGACGATTTAAAAATTGTTTGTATTTAGAAAAATAATGTAAGTTTATTATTATTATTCTAATATAATTTATATTATTTTCTTTGGTATGTTGGTGAACTTAAATTTTAATTCGTAGATTTTTCTTATATTAATTTATTATAGTTGTTAATGAGCTTTGTTGAATCCGTTTTGAATTTCTGTGATGGTTGTTATTTAGCACTTTTTAAGTATAGAATGTTTATTAAATTCATAACTAATTTTGGCATGTTAACTTGCACATGAACTATTCACACTTTTTACTATAGACAATGTAAGAAGGATTTACATACAAGCTTTAATACTCATTTTTTGCTCACAATTACTAACTTATTAAAATGCAATAATCAATCAATTCAATTCGAAATCGAAATTTTTAGAAAATAGATTCAGTAAAATAAAGACAATTATTTTGTACAATATATTTATATCAAATTGAATTATCTTGCTTGAGTTATTTTTTTTATTATCACTATTATTTTTATAGATAAGCATATGATAAAGACAATTATCAATATTCGTATACATTATTTGACATTGAATTTTATAAGACATATAAGACATTGTTAAATCATATTAATTTCGAGTTGTTAATATATAACTTGCTTTCCAACATGTACCCAAACGATTCTTTGGTAGCTCAATTATTTATTTATTATCCCTGTATGTATCCATACTAAAATTATTATTTTTATTCTTTTCCTAGGTACATGAACGCCAGACTGCCAGGATGCGTACCCGCTCTGAGTGGTTTTTGGAATCCAGAGGCGGATCCTTGGAATTAGGAGCAGTGAAGAACACAGGCAGGCCCCCTTTAAATCTCACTACGTCCCCGGTGGCATCTCACACTAGCAGTAATAACGGTAACGAAAATAATGAATCATTTAACAGCGATGATCAGCACGAATCATCGACCAGAAAAATGTCATTGTCGACACAAGATGCCGTTGATAGTACCCGGAAACGTCATTGCACGAAAAACAACCATGTCATGTCCGTCGCAGAAGACAAGCACGATCGCATGCTGCACATTGTCATTAGAATATTGGAATGTTTGTTCTGAGATTGTCCTCAAATTACTTAAAGCGACCAGAGTAATGGCGAATTGTAATTAAATTATTTTTATCATCCGACGTAAGGGTCCATTAATCAAGTGAGCGAGTTTTTAAGGATTTTTGGACCCACCCTCCCCCTTGGTGATACATGGTGATATTCAAAATTATGTCCCCTTCCGCCGCCAAACATCAAGTGTATTTTTTTAGTTATGTGATAAAACTGTAAAATTCTTGAATATTCCTTGAAAATGTTTGATTTTTTTTAAATCAGTTAAAAAATAAATACACGTGATATCTTACCCAAGTTTCGTGATTTTTTGTCAACCTTACGTGATTGATAGATTTTTTAAGGATTTCTGTCTCTATCCTTTTCCTTCGTGACACCTAGAGATATTTATAACTCCACCTCCCCCTCCAAACCACCTATATCAGGTGTATTTTTTACCTTGATTTTTTTTAAACTTTTTCAAATTTTTTTTGAAAAATTTTGGGATTTTTTTTTTGAAAAATTCTTACTTGACCCCTCTCTACCATGTGATACTTTGTTATTGTTTGTTTTTTACATTTCTTTAACTTATTATAGTTTTTTTTACAGTATCTCATTTTTTATTAAATCTTATTAGGCGTTAAAAATGTATGAAAAAATGACTCAACTTGCAGAGGCGAGCGCAAAGTGGCTTATTCGAAAAATCTTATATTGCGAAATCGTTTTAAACGGGTTCTACTGTATTTATCTCTTCGAATGGCGAAAGTTGTATGTTCACGATGGGGTGCGCGTACTAAAATCTTTTTTTTTCAAATCTTGTATTGAAGTTTCGTTTTCCTAAATCACAAATCGAAGTTATTATTTATGAAATGTAATTTCGTTGCGATGGAAAAAAAATTCAAATAAAATTACGGTGAACATTATATCTGGTTGCTTTAAAATGTTCAATAAATCATTTATAGTTTGCATGCAAAAATATTGTTTTATAATTATTATATTTGCCTAATTTATTAAATTCCGGAATTTTATAATTTAGCAAAGAATTATTATTAAAAGCATATGTTTATTATTCTTATTCTTTAAGTCTTTAAAGAACTAAGAGAAATTGATTTTGCTTGGAATTCATCTCTAAATATAATCGGTGCATAAGAAGAATTTATTCTCTACTTAGAACTTGGTTCTAAATAGATAACTTCATATTAAATTACTATGTTATCTATAAATAATATTTAAATTTTTATATCACAATGTTGAAAATAATGCATCTTAATAATATTTAAATGTACGTACTATTATGTCAATATTCATATTTCCCTATATTGAAAACTTTTGGAGGTTTTCTTAAATTTTCGTAAATGTTTTTAACAATTATAGCTTTCGTGGGTGATATTCAACGTTTTGTGATAATCAAGACTGAGACATTGAAACCACCGATATATATATATATTATTACTAGAGTAGCATGGCTTGTTTAAGTTTTTGCCTTGGCAATTTTCATTAAGATTTTACTAACATTATTATAAACGAATCTAAAAATTTTACATTTATTTTACACTTATAGTCGGAAATCGATATTATTGATATGTACAATATTTTTATAAGTTTCAAGATGTAAAGTATTTAGTCAAATTGCAAACAAGTTTTAGACGATATAATTTCATCACAGCCTGTGGAAAATTGAGCTACTTTTAAAATTTAACGTATACAACTTAAGTGAGTTCTACACAACTTAATATTTAGTTAATAATGCCAGTGACTTATATACAGTTAATCATTATTAATTTAGGTAATTTATAAAATAATATATTAGGTGGAAGTTAATTTATTGAATTTGCCATAAAAATGGTTGGTTTTTGACTCGATTTTAACGAATGATTTATTTTTAATGAGATAATACGTGATTCTATCGGAATTCTAATGTTGATTTTCATTGCACCTAAAAAAATTTGATTTCTTCTTAAAAATCATTTCTTCGTTAAGAGACGTGTTTATAAAACAAGACATTTTACGTGGCAGCAATTCATTTATGCGTAAGTCAATTTAGAATAAAAATTTGATAAAAGAAAATATAATATATTTTACATTCTATAAGTTTTAAGCAAAATTATTAATATTTATTATAAAAATTAAATAACCAGCTCATTTTATTATATATTTTATTATAAAATATGTTTCATATTAACTAGCAGAAGTTTGTATTGCAATTGCATGTTGCTGATTGACCCATGAATATTGTTTAAACACAGTATAGATTGATGTCGTAATTTAAGCATTTTGTTTTTTAACGTGCTTTTGTTATCTGCACCACATATGAATTTATTAATAAACATTTTCATCCTTTACTAATTTATATTGTTTATTATTTGTATTATACCCAGTAAATACTGAGCGGCGGTAGCAATTGCTGTGAATGATTAGACTAATTCATGTAATTAAAATAAGCAATCAAGTTTTATACAATTTAATGTTTTTAACAATTTTTGTGATTTTTATAAACTATTATAAATGATTTTTAAATCTTTGCTTTAATTAGTCCTCATGAATAAATTTTAATTTTACTATGTAATGAATAAGGAAATAATCAATAACATTTTAAAATTGTGATTTGAGTACGAAAATTTCATACAATGTGAAATCGAATTTTGTTACATAAATATCGTTTCGAATACTTCGGATTACTTTCATAAAATTGATCGAAGAACTGCTGGTGCAGTAGTTTCAATTTTGACTTTGCAGTAGTAGCTTCTGAAATGAATTTGTAGAAACGCGATTTTTTCACACATTGATTTTAAATTTTCTATTCCTTCGGTAATAGAGAGGTATTAATAATAAAACAGTTTTATTTATGATAACATTTGTTTGGGTAACTAGTGGTGGTGGCGTTGCTCTCAGCAAGTGCCGAATCAGTTCAACAGAGGCAACATCGCACCACTTCCATTCGCCGCTCCGGAGGAAGCAGTTCCCGGCACGCTATGCGCCAAGGCAGTTCGCGCCGGAACAAGGAAAACGGTGGAGCAAATCCTGTCCGGACTGGGAGTTTCAGGAGTAAAGAGCATAGGGTGAGTAGTAGATAGTTAAAATATTTAGGTCACATACAGGTAACCCCGTACAACACGGTAGTTACGTTCCAGAATCCGAATCCGTATTATAAGGAACAAAGAGTTAAGTTATAAGGAAGAAAGTTATAAGGAACTGGTACAAAAAAGGGGTTACGTTCCAAGAATTCCAAAAACCTGCTACATATCATGATTTTATAATAAATATTGTTACATTTATTCATTTTTTCAGAAGTAATATACATTACCTGAATTATATGATTTTTTTTGTCATAATAAACAAATAAGTGCTATCCAACATGATCTTTTTTTGCAAGATATCCTCATCTTCTGAGTAGTTTTCTATACTACCTCCAGATCCGTGCATTATTTTTTGCAAAAAAAATATATTTGCTATTAGGGATCGTTCAAGTATTACGTAAGCAGATTTATTACAATTATTTACCCCCCCCCCCATCCCCCTTGTCAGCAAAAGTAAGCAAAGCTCTTACCCCCTACCCCCATGCTTACGTAAACATTTTGCAATTAATGTAAAAAAAATAAAAATACTACCTATGACGTAATCATCATCCAGACTCCCCTGCCCCCCATGTCAACCCAAAATAAGCAAATCAACGAAGGTGACGATTAGCCAAACCGTTTCTTGGTAAATTTTTTTTATTATCATTTGTGTCTTTTATTAACATTGTGTTAACAATATGTCGTTATAAACAATGTTCAGTAATTTTAATGGTTTATTAAATAAGGAAAAAAGGTCAAAATGTCACCCAGTGATGATCCTATTCGATGTTGGTTATGTCATGGCTTTTTACTAAATTTTTGGCCATGATGTTTGGGTGGTTCTGTATTCTATCCTTGTATCTCAGACTGATTTTTTCAATTTTTTCCTTAACTGTGACCGAATCTGTATGAACCAACTAATTTAGGACATACTTGGGTGCGTTTATAATTTCTTTAAAAATCATGTTTTGAAATCTTTGAATTGTGGCTATGTTGGATTTGCGCGCCGTTCCCCAAAGCTGTATTACGTACGTCCAAATTGGTTTTTACTGTAGTACAGACTTACAGCTGGGTATCTCGATTTCCGAGCTTCTTACCTAATTTAAGCTTGAATGACTGGACTATACCTGGAAGTTAATGCAGCTTGCCTTAAGGCAAAATGCTACTTTCAGCACTTAGTTCAATTTTGATGTTAAATATATATCTAACATGTTGTTTTTCTCTTATTCCAGGAATTTGCTTCGTCTGGACAGCCACTATCGCGATCCAATAGCTTGAAATCTGATGAAAATACTAGAAAGGCCCACATTCAATTTCCTGAACCTGCAGTGTGTAACAGTCATCGAGTCAGCTGGGCTGAACCTATGGACACTGAGGATTCGTGGACAATCTCGCCGACGACGTAAAAATAGATATTTATAATTCTTATTTTATCTACAGTTTCATAATGAGTGTTACCATTTTGAGAACAATTTGTTACACAAAGTACTTTCAAGTTGAGACAGCATTTTGGACGTTGTTGGTGTAAATGCTGTTGTTTTTATTGTTATATTTTATAAATTTTATCTAATTAATTCTTTATTAGATAGTTCTATCTATGACCTGATGTATGTACCTGTTGTAAATGATTTATTTTCAATATTGAGATTATCAGAATTACAAGCGAATTAAAACGTTTTTGAAATGCCAATATGGTTAAACAAAATTTCGAGATTATTTTCATGTTTAGATAAATATTTTGAATGATTGATGAAAAATTATTCTGCAATAGTAACGCTCATTTTAAGGAAACATATTCGTAAATTTTATAAATTTAGTTGAAAGAACTGCATTTGATATGCATTTTTTAGAGTTGCTCGACTGATAAACATTATTCTAATAATGTTATTAGAATAATTGATGAAAGATAAATTTTTATTGCATATTTTTTATGCAATTTTTACTTAAAGTAAATATTTTGAATGACACTTTCATGTTTGCTAACAGTGGCGGTATAATTTTAAAGTTATATATTTGTTACAGATGGTAGGGCGTAAATACTGTTCATAATTTGAAATATAAATCGTTAAAATATTTATTTTAAAAAAATGTTTGAAAACAAATTGATAACATTGACTAATAGCATATGCGTACGACTTAGAAATCCGACCTGACACTGATATAAAAATAAAATTATAAAACGTCCAAATATTTATATTTTAGAATTTTGGTTTTCAACGTGGCAATCGGTAAGAAACGTTCAACCGATCTTCTCACAAAACTAATAATAAATTCTTAATATTTTTACGTCTATCGCCGCCGTTGTTCAGTAATACTTTCAGGATAAATAAAAGCATTCCATACGTCAATTTTATATTAAATATTAAATTATTAACGTTTCACTTTCTAAAAAAAAATTATTCAATCTTTTGAAAATAATAATTTTTATTACATGCATTTTTTATTACGTATTATAAATAAACTCACCAAAATCTATGCACATAAGCATTTTTTTCAACTAAAAGACTGCCAAATATTGCATTATATCATAAAGAATAATTATATATTCTTCAGCTCTTTATGCATTTATAGTATTTATTCATGAATATCGACATAAATTTCTAAAAGGATCAGACTGTGATCTTAAAGTTCTCATCGAGGAAAAATCAGGAACCAATGAACCGATAATTTATTCCAAGAATAGTGTTGCAAAACTTTGTCTTGTAGGAGATCTATAATGAATATATGTATAACAAATGATGAACAAGAGCAAATGATTGTCATATAATTTTATAAATTTTGTATCCTACTTGGGTACCGACTTTTATCTAGCAAAAACTTAAACAAAATTTTCAAAAAAACTCAAGATTTTTTTAGCTATATCTCTTGATTTAAGTTTCATTCTACAAGGCAATATTTATTGGCAATACTATTTTCAAGAATGATTGCGTGGATTCAAATCCGACTCGTGATTTCTTATTATATCGTATTATCTTCATATGAAGAAATATGTTAAGTAGAAAGTATAAATAAAATTGTGATATCATCTAAGCCGAATTCAAGCTCTGCATTCGTAGCTCCCGTTTATATTTTTAAACGATTAAATATTATTAAAAATATTTTTAGTCCAGTATTAAATGGTACTAATATAATTTATTTGTCAAAAGGTCTATTTTGGGACTGGCTTAAAAGTTTAGTACAGATATGCAGTTTTTTCATTCAAATTATTGATGATGACATTGATTTATTATCAATGTACTAGAATTTTTTTTAGTATTTTAAATATGTATGAAGTAATCAAAATGTGAAATAGGTATGAAGTTATCAAACATGTCGGTAAAAATTTATCGTTTACTTAAATGTAATTAATCTGCATTTACAAATAAGTTGTGGTGTAATTAAAATGTTTTATATGTTAACGAATGTGACTAATTTTACATGTGAGCTTGTTGCTGTAATTGCATTGATTTTTATAATGCTCATATGAAATATCATATTAGGTAATATACATATATATTAGTATATGTTAGATTAGATTTGGCTAACTAATTATCAGACTTTTCGTCACAAAATTTAAAAAAATGGTAATAAAGTTCGATACACAATTTGTGTTCCTTGGTTAGCCAAATCTGTAATATAACACGAGAATGGTTACTTTAAGGGTAAATTTTATATTAGATAAAAATTAAAATGCTCATTAATAATATAATTAGTCGTACTGAAATTAATTTTCAGATAATATTTTGGATGCTTCTTATAATAATTAAATCCGGTATGAAATTATTCATTTTAATATTTGTACAAATTAATAAAATATAAAGCGAACTTTTTGAAAAAAGGCACCGATTACGACAAGATTGCATAATAGTAATCGTACATAGAGTGTTGACCAATTGATAGGATTTGAGAAATTGCATTGATTCGTGATTATTAATAATTATTAGTTTGAGCTATGGCTGCATTTTAGTCTTATACTGCTCTACAATCTATTTTATGACTTTTGTTCGAAATTACTTTGTGAACACGGTTAAGACGTTTTTCCAGGCATCGAAAGCCAATTTAGCTCTCACGAGATGTTCAATAAAGCTTTTTTTCTCTATAAATTTAAGGGGCACAACTAGTATAAAATTTTCAAAAAATCTAATTTTCAATTTTTCCATATTTCTATAGGTTATACCTTTAAAAATAATATACCAAAATTTTAAATCGATATCTTAAATAGTTTTTGAGTTACAGCCATTTAAAGAGTGTATATTTAGTATATCGTATAATGATCATTTAATCTTTAAACGCGTTTTTCTCGAAACAGCATTTTCCGAATTTGCTGCAGCGATTACTCAAAAACAAATGAACCGATCACTATCAAATTTTTTTACGTGTTTTATATATAGTCCTCCGTAAAATGAACTATCGATTTTTTGATCTGATGAAAAATCGAATTTTGGCAGTCCAAAAACGACCAAAATTTTGGGTAAAATTCGACTTTTTTTTTAAAAAAAACGCCGTCATTTTGTCAATTTTTTATTTTTTTTCTTTATCGTAGTTTATTTTACAGACAATATTATCTAGTTTAACGAGATTTTTTTTTAAATTTCAACCACGTAGAAGGCCGGAATCTCTGCAGCAGTGAAGGTCCTTTTTTGTCGCGCCGTTGGTGATCGACATTAACTTAAAAAATATTTAATTATTTTCTTCAAAAATTTTACTATGTATTCTTAAAACATGTATAAATATATTCCTAAAATTTTAAAATGATTGATGAAGTAGTTTTTCTAATATAAATTTCCAAAAATCACCTTTTTTCTAGGCGGTTACACTAGTTGTGCTCCTTAAATATGAACTTGGTTAAATCTCATGTTTCTTCGTCTGGGACCTTAGGGTCAAAATGAGTCTAATAAATTATTACGGGCATCTAAAAAGTGGTTTAAATAGAATTGTACTACTATCATATTTAAACCATTCTTTATATGCCTATAATATTGTAAGTTCATTTTGACTATCGACCCTCTAAGTTTTATCAAATTCCCAGATAAGTAAACTTAAGATTCTAGTAAGTAGATACAAGTTGGTGAAATATAC